TGTACCTTCAAGAATAAATTTTTTTCTCTTTTTAAAAATGTATAGAAGTCATTATACATAGCGTTAAAGAAACATTTTCAAAACGTAAAAATCATCCTTACCCTTCCCTAACAATTTCATATTCCTTTCCTGTTTTTGTCAGCCTTGCAACAAGGTCCCCTTTAAAAGACATTTGCAAGATCAAAATAAGACATGGTTAGAGTAAGTGTGAGACGGTATAAAAATTTGCGTCCATATTGTGTAAGCAGAATCATCAGACTTAATATATCAGCCTTTCGAATTTTCCAAATACTTTCAGTTCAGGTTTTTCTTTCAACAGATGACATTGACGGCATAGCCCCATGTGCCCGGTATGGCTGGGCCTGGGAGGCGCATAGTCCTTGCCCCCTAGGAGTCCCCAGCTGAGTGGGGAGGACTGACAGGTACACAGATGGCGCTGGCATAACAGGTTAAGTGCCCATCAGAGGTGTGCTCTGGGCATCAGGGAAGCCAGAGCACCTAGGGATCCCAGAGCATGCTCCTAGCCTATCCTGGCAGGCTGGGAGGCTTCCTGGAGGAGGTAATGTTTGAACTGAGACCTAAAGAACTAGTGGGTGCTGGTCAGGCCAAGAAGGGAGGAAAGGTAAAAAAGAAAGCGAGCAATGTGAACTAACGCATACTTTTTAAAACTCCTGGGAGTCTGCCACCTATGGCCTTCTCTCCCCAGGGGCTCTGGTGCCAGCTGCCTGCCACTCTGTTTACTGTTCTGGGAGGTGGCCAGGCCATAAAAAGTGTGTACAACCTTCTGTCATCGCCCTTTGCTCCTGGGGCACATGATAACAATGCACAAGGTGGCTCTGGGCTTGGCTCAGGCCCCTGAAGGGCAGCAGACACTTCTCTCTGTGCTCCTGTTAGTGGCCTGGGAGACACCATGGCTCCGTCAGTAATGGCGGCCACCTAAGGCATGGGAGCCAGAGGCAGCAAAGGAAAGGCCCAGGGTTCCAAGAGCAGAGGGAGGGAGGGGGCTAGTGGAAAGGTGGCTGGTACTGAGTGAATAGATTTTCAGAACTTCCAAAAGTTTGCTCTGTGACCCTTGGTTAACTTCTTGCCCTCTCTGGGCCTCCATTTCCCCATCTGTGAAAATGGGGAGTCTGTCTACCGAAAAGAAATGGCTCTGGTCAAGTAAGTTTGGGAAGTCCTGCAGACTCTGCTCCTCTGGGAGTGTCACATTGGTACGTTGGGACATCAAAGGCTCTGACAAGCCTCACAGCAAAGAAGCCCCCTGAATTTTCTTTAATCCAGCATTCCCCGTGCGTTGCTACCTAGGAGGCCCCTGCTCGGCCCTGCCAGCATCCCACTGAACCGCACACACCTGGGTGGGGATGTGCTGGGCTCGGGGGCCACGCCTTCTCTGTGACTCAGTGTTTAGCAGCAGCTTTTGCTGTCAGATGGCCCGGCTTTCAGCGTGACTACTTTCACACTGCCGGACTTCAGGCAAGTTGCTTAGCTTTTTGAAGCCTCGGCCTCCTCGTTTGTCAAATGGAAATAAAATATCCTAACTGATCTTAGAATGATGTTTTGCCCAGGGCCCAGCACATAGTAGGTGCTTGTGTTTTAGCCACCTGCTCATGGGGCTGTTGCATCTTGTGTGAGACGCTGGCAGGCCTGGCTGGTGTTCTGACCACCCCTGGCCTCAGGAAGACCTCTGCCCGGCAGGAGGTCAGTGGCCAGGCCTGGCAGGCTGGCGGAGGTTAGGAGGTTGCATGGGGCCCATAGGTTGGGTTGGTGATCACCCGTCAATGGGTGTCTGAGCTCCGTGAAAAAGAAAACTTATCTAAGACAACGTCTAAGCAGCCCAGTGGGCTGCCTTGTGCCTTTTGAGTTCCCTGTCACCCAAAAAGCTCCACCAGAGGTTGGAGTGTTGTAATGGCTCAGGAAGGAGACCCCTCAGGTCCTGTCAGACCCTACGGCCACCCCAGGGGTAAGCAGTGTTCCAGCTCTCCCATCAGGAGTGGCTGATGCTGCTTTGCACACGGTGATTTCATGTTCCCCCGCTGCTGGGGGGCAGGCACTGGCGCTGAAGACTTAGAATCCAGAAAAAACTAGATCTGGCCTGGCCTGGCCCTCCAAGGCCTGCAGCTTGGTTGTGGCTTCTGGCAAATCAGAATTGTGCATGTTGGCACTTTGTTTTGTAGACTATTTTAAGGACTCTATAGACCCCTAAGCCCTGTGTTGGGAACCTGAGCTTGTGGAAGAGCCAGTCCTGTCACTGACTGCCAAGAGGTCGGTGTGGGCTGAGCAGAGCAGTCATCGCTCTGCTCTAGAGAGGGGCTCGGGGATGGAGGGGAGCATTATGAGATAGGGGGTCTCCAGCAGCTGAGGATGCGTGTGTGTGCATGTGCGTGTGCACGTGTGTGCATGATGGGCTGGGATGGGGCCAGGGCTTAGGACAAGGGGACTGTGGAGCTCTGAGGAAAGTATCCTGGCTCTAGGGGATGAGACGCCCAGCCAGGGGGACACGGCACAGCCGGGCTAGGCCAGGGCGGCTGTGGGGGGCAGCCCTTCCCAGCGGGGCTGCTCTGGAGCCACTTTCTCTGAACCACACCAGATGGACGAGCAGCCTGGAACCTCGTTTTTCACAGTCACCCCTCCCTGGTGTGACAAAACACATGCTCTACAGTGATAAAATCTGAACGTTTAAGCAAATTAAAAATGTTTATTTATATGCATTTAAAAATATCTCCCTATATAATAAAAGGAAGTACATTTTCATCTAACACTTTCCTTAAATCAGCACACATCCCCATTTCACTGCTGGTTTGATGTGAGACAGAGAGAGAAGGGGGAGAGGGAGGTTGAGTACTTACCATTCGGATTCCGAAGGAGTTATTTGCTGAGCAGTACCCGAACCCCCTCCGGAATGGGGGAGAGGAGATGGTTGGGGCGGCAACCGTCACATGTGCGTGGTCACTGAACTCCTGGCCAGTTGTATGATCATAAAACTGGAGCTTCAATGGATAGATTAATGTATGTGGACAATGTCTTCTAGAACATCCTGGGGGTTCGTTTGTTTTATGAAAGTGCAGACTTTTCCAACCGGGGCTGTGGAGATGGAGGAGAAGGTGGCAGAGAGCTACGATCCGGAGGGCAGGGCCTGGGAGAGGTAGGACTCCTGGGTCACTGGTGTGACTCTGTCTCTGTATCCCTGAGTGAGAGTGCCCCTGGGTCTCAGTTTCTCCATCTGAGAGGCACCCCACAGCCCCGGTGACTGCCACTGATGCTCAGTGGTCACCCCATGATGTTTCTGCTCAAGGAAGCTGGAAGTCCTGGCCCTGTTCCCCTCTCCTCCCCCAGGGCTGGCTCTGTGAAGCAGGGGGACCAGGGGCTGCTAGGAAGGGGCCCTAAAGAGGCCACTCTTGCCGGCTTCTCAGCCAGCTCCCCTCCCTACTCCTTGTTCCTGTGGATCTCTGTGCCTTCCCGAGGGCCAATGAAACTCAAGTGGCAGTGGGAGGGAGCAGTTCGGCAGGGCTGCCACTCCTCCTGTGGGAGACACAGTGGCAGGCCCTGGGGACGGGTTGGGGCGGGTTCTGCCTGGGCCCCATTGGATTCAGGAGGCCCTGCTTCTGCCTCTCCCCAGGCACAGCCATGGCTCTCCTGGCTTTATCTCCAAACCCCAGAGACTCGGTGCCCGGTGTGACCTTGGGCACATGATTTTACTCCTCTCAGTTTCCTCAGGTATTAAATGAGATGCACAAACCTGTCATCTCAGGCTGTTGGAGAGAATTAAAAACGAGATATTGGGTGTTAAAGTCCATCATGAGCACAGTAGTGCTCAAAAAATGTTCCTTCTCTTCACATTCACGGCCACCCTTGGCCCCTTATGAGTGGGGGGGAAGGGGCAGAGGGGACACATTCCTCCTGGGTCTGGAGAGCCCCTGGCTCACCCTGTGCAGCTGGGCTGAAAGGGAAGAGCGGCTGGATGGGACCTGGGGAGGAGAGGCGGCCCTGGGACCTGGCCAGGCCTTTACTCAAGCCCATGCTTTGATTTAAACTCTTGCTACCTCCTTTCAAGCTCCAGGGGTGAAAGGGAGCAGATCCTTATTCTCGCCCCTCCCCAAAGGCCTCCCCCATGCCGACCGATGGTAGGGCAACCGCATATATGGTTAATGTCTGAACTGGGACACTCTGACAGTGGAAGGGGCACAATTTATCACGTATACAGTGGTCCCCTAGCATATAGCAGTCACTCCTAGCAAACCGACGCATACAATTGCTCTAGCCAATTTCCCATCCTAGGCTGGTGGCTCATTTTTTTTTTTTTTTTTTTTTTTGAGACAGAGTCTCACTTTGTTGCCCTGGCTAGAGTGAGTGCCATGGCGTCAGCCTAGCTCACAGCAACCTCAAACTCCTGGGCTCAAGCGATCCTTCTGCCTCAGCCTCCCAAGTAGCTGGGACTACAGACATGCATCACCATGCCCGGCTAATTTTTTCTATATATTTTTAGCTGTCCAATTAATTTCTTTCTATTTTTGGTAGAGACGGGGTCTCGCTCTTGCTCAGGCTGGTTTCGAACTCCTGAGCTCAAACAATCCACCCGCCTCGGCCTCCCAGAGTGCTAGGATTACAGGCGTGAGCCACCGCGCCCGGCCTGATGGCTCATTTTCCAGATATGAAATCATAACTTTCCCAAGGCCATACTGGGAGTGGACAGGAACCCAGTTGCTGATAATCGAAGTCACAAACCATCACGATGACCTGGTGGCACTTGTCTGTCCCTTCTCCTTGCCCAAACCTCCCCATTTTGCTTCCATCCCAAGGAAAGGACTGTTGAGGACTCCTACAAGCCTGGAAGGTCCATGAGGTCTGACTCTGTCTCTGGTGTCACTCACTAGTTCTGTGACCTAGAGTAAGTAACTTAACCTCTCTGTCCTTCCACTTCCTCATCTGTAAAGTGGGAGTAATAACACTTGGCCTCCAGGCTAGGAAAATAAGACACCTGGCCCAGGACCTGGCGCATTTCAGGTGCTCAACAAATATTGATAAATATCTGACCAGTGGTGGAGTGTGCAACTCACAATCAGTGAATGCATGTTAACTAAGCGCCTACTATGTGCTGGGCTCTGTGCTAGATGTTTTCTATGCTTGATCTCCCTGAATTCCCCACACCCCATTAAGGGAGGTGAGATTCTTACCCCCGTTTTCCAGGTGAAGCGGCAACGCAGGGGATTTAAGTAAGGTCACACGGCAAAGACGATGAGGCAGGGGGATGCTGGAGCGCAAGCCTGGGCTGTTAGTGTCAGTGCACGTGGCCTGTCTCCCTAGTTGCCCACCTAAGAAAAGGGAGGCCCAGAGAGGGCAGGTCTCTTGCCCAAGGTCACGCAGGAGGCCGACAGATTCCATCGCGAACCCCCCTCCCCACTCGCTCGGCCCCTCCAATCCGCAGCTCTGCGTGCGGGGGCGCGCGTATCCCTCCGTCTGTCCGTTAGCCCGTCTGTCTGGGTGTCTATGCGGGCTCAGCCGCGCACCCCGCCCCAGCCGCGGGCGCTGCGCAGGGAGAGACAAGGCGTTCGCAGCGCCCGGCCCGCGCTCCACGCCCGCAACCGCCAGACGGCAGCGCCTGCGTCCGTGCCCGCCCCAGCCGGAGCGCGGGAGCCACCGGGGCAAGGGCGCCGCGGCCGGCGGGCGATCGCTCGCTCCCTCGCTGCTCTCTGCGCTCGCGGAAGCTAAGCGGGCGAGCCAGCCCCCAGCCCTCCAAGATGAAGAAGCTGCAGGCAGCTCACCTCCGCAAGGTAGGGCGCCAGGGCAGGGGCAGCCGAGGGAGGGCTGGAGAGGCCCGCCCCCATCGAGGCCCCGGGGGAGGCTTTGAGGGGGCACCCGCCGGCTCGGGGCTCTGGGGGAGGCCCGGCCCAGAGGGATGACAGGGAGGACAGGGGTCGTGGTCTGCACCCCGACCCCGCCCCTGCCATCTGGGGATCGGGATGGAGAGTGCTGGGGGCAGGGGTCTGCTGGGCCAGCCCTGTGAACAGGTGTCAGCAGCCCCAGGCGGTGTGGGGTAGGGGTGGCCTGGGGCGAGGAACAGGTCTCTCCCCAGTCCTGCAGCCTGCTTCCCCCAGGGGCTGATTGCAGGGTAGTGGGTGTCAGAATAGCTGGGCACCAGCCTTGAGCTGGACTAATGTCGCTGAGAGGGGCGGGATGTGGGGGTATGGTCCTGTCCCTCATCTGTGCACTGAAGCAGGCTCCATGAGCCTGAGGGGGGACCCTCCTCTTTCCTGGCTGCTCCTGCCCTGCAGGCCCATCACCTGCTTCCTCCCTGCCTCTCCCCATCTCCTGGCAGCCTTAGTGTCCTGGCTGAGACACCAGGCTGCCCCTTCAAAGGGCTGAAGGGAGGCAAAGGCAGGGAGGGGGAAAGGGAGGCCCAAGGATATTGGGGTGGGGGTGGAAGCTGGGATGAGAGAGGCGTCATGGGCCCAGACCTCAGCCTGTCCCCACCTTGCCTGGCCAGGGTTGGACCTCCCAGCAAGTTGTAAGTGTGTGGGGAGGGGGAATACTGGGGAAGTCTTCTGGCGTTTGGCTTTTGGTTTGGTACCAGTCCTGACCAAGGAGTTAGATCTCCTGGGGACTATTTCTGCGGCTGCCACTTGCCCTGTGACTTTGGACAAGTTCATCCTCTAACCTGAACGTGGGCTGGGCCACCCCCAGCGTGGAGGCACCAAAGCAGGCCATGCCGGGTGTGGAGGGTGCAGAGAGGAATGGTGCGAACTGGAAGGGCTGGTAGTCACGAGAAGACTGTTCTCAGGGGCTGGTGTTACAACCCCCACCCCCTCACACACGCACGCGTGCACACACACTCATTCATTCAAGCTCTGCCTGTGGCAGCTGGGCTTGGAACCACTGTGGTGTGTCTTCTTTATTCACTGACGTGAGTGACTTCTTGGGGCCATTTGTGGGTCTCTGGCATTTTCTTTGTCCTGTCCCCATTCTTTTCCACTCTCCTCTCCCCTCTTGCGTTCCCTCCTCACAAGACCCCTGCTCCTCTCTGCCACACATGATGTAACAGCCACCTTTAGTGAACGGTGCTAGGCCGGGAGTTTAGCGAGCCTTATTTCATTTAATCCTCCAACAATTCTGGGGGCCGAGTCTTATTATTCCCGCTTTATAGACAAGGCAACTGAAGCACGGAGGGGTGAGGCTCACTGCTTACCTGCAGCTAGGCTAAGCAACCTAGAGCTCATGGGGCAGAGGTGGGGCCACCTCCTCTCACGGTCCCCTCCCCTGGTCTCAAGGAGAAGGGGGAAGGGGGTGAGAAAATGCCACTCAGCAAAGAAGCAGCCTTGCTCAGAGATGAGCACTGGACTGGGAGTCAGGGGATCTGGGTCCGAGTCTTGCTCTGCCCTTAACTTGCTATTTGACCTTGGGCTCATCCCTTGCCCTCCCTGAAACTCGGTTTCCTCATCTGTACAATGATCAGGTTGGACTGCAGATTCCCATTGTCTGTCTCCGTCCTGAAGAAGGTATGAGGGCCTTGGCTTAGGCAGTCCTGCATTTCCCAGCCCCTGCTGTGGGGACCGCCATCTGCTGCTCCCTAAGGGAGCGGGTGCAGGTCTGACAAACTCAGGTGTGCGTTCCTGCGTGATCCTGGGGTGGGAAGTGGGGGCGCTCGGGAGTGGGAGCCTCACACCCAGGCGGAAGTATGAAGCAACTCATTAAGCTTCCAACTCTGCCCCATTTATCTGATTGCTTCCTTCTGTCCCCCAACCAGTCCCATCCTCACCGTGCCAGCCTCCTGGGATTCATCCCGTGGTGGGGTTGGGGGCTCCAGGTGGGCTCCTGATTGGCTCAGCTTTGGAGGACCCCATCCCCTGCCCCTGGAGCAGAAGCAGGCTTCCCTCTGATTGGGGGAGGAGGGGGACGAGCTGGCAGCATCCTGCTCTTGGAACTCTTGTCGCCATGGAAACGGAGAGCCAGGACCGCTCCGTGAGCATGGAAAGGGCAGCTTCTCTGGAGGGATCAGAGGAGCCTCATTACCAGGACCTCCTGCCGGCTGGCCTGAATGGGGCTGGGGGTCTCAGGGTGACAGGCCTGCCTCACCACCCAATGCCAGCGGCCAGTGTCAAGTGGCTGCTACCCCATTCCTCCTGGAGCTCACCTGGGAACAAGAGGTTCCGGAAGGCTGACGCTCACCCAGCTGGAGAGGCAGCCTTGGGGAAGGGGCATAGGAAGGGAGGGGCGAGTTTCAAATGAGCCTGGGAGCCGCTGCTACCCTCACCTCAGCGTGTCCGAGATCACAGCTAAGGAACCGCCCCCCCCCATGTGTTTGTTTAACCCTTGGAGCCTTGTTACTTTAAAAGCAGCTTTTCCATGCTCTTTGTCATTGTCACCATCACCCATAATCATGCCAGGCTGTCCCTGCCACCACTGCCCCTGTGGCCAATAGCCAGCCTTAGGCTAAATCACCACTGTGGTCGCCACTACCACTGAGGGTCTCTGAAGGGAGAATGCCCAATGGACCTCCCACCCACTTCAAACCATGGAAGGGGACGTCGGGGCCTCCACTCGCCTCTGTGCCTTCATCTCTTCTCCAGAGACGCAATTATTGTGACTTTCTGAGACAGATCAGGGCTTAAGTTGCTTCTTCCTGCACATGAGCCAAAATTCATGTTCTCAGTAGGCCCCCCTGAGCCACAGAGCTAAGTCTAATCTCTCCCCCTGGGGAGCCCACGTCCCTCCAGGCCTTCCGTTTTCTATGCCCAGGGCGCCCAGTTCTTCCCGTTGTCCTCCTGTAACCTCTTTTCCTGAGCACCCTCCAGTCTGGCCACCTGGCCTTTGGACATGCTGCTCACTGTCTGTCCTTCTTAAACTATGGCTCCCAGAATGATCAAAACTCCAGCACTTGTGGGTGAAGACTCAGGCTTTCACATCGGGAAGCTCTGGGCTCGAGACCTGGTTCTCCCACTAGCCAGCCTGGGAAAAACCTTGGGTGTGTCATGACACCTCCTGGAGCCTCAGTTTTCCTCATGCTTAAAGTGGAGCTCAGATGAGTACGTAGCCCATAGAGTTGTTTTGTGAATGAAATCAGGTAATGTGAGTAAAACGTTTAGTGCAGTGAGCACATAGTAAGTGCTCAGTGCATAGTAACTGTTCTTAAGATATCATCATCATCATCCAAGCAGAACGGTCCCTTCACTTGACCTCCCTGTTAGCCAAACTGTGGGCCAAAAATGATCAGGATCATTTTTTTAGTGCCTGAGCCACTCTGCTGGTTCAGTAAGTTTAGAGTCACCTAAAACCCCGTCCTGCATGTGACCGTGTTAGCCCAGATAAGAGCACTTGATTGTCTGAACTGATAGAGCATCTCTCCATTTAGCCCTGTCTAATCCCATATTCTTGTCTTGGGGTCACAATTCCAGCCTGGCCTCACCTCCTCCTGCACCCCTTTTGTCTCTCTTACTGGTAGCCCGTCACCCCTGACCTGTTGATGACCCCGAGTGACCAGGGCGATGTCGACCTGGACGTGGACTTTGCCGCAGACCGGGGGAACTGGACCGGCAAGCTGGACTTCCTGCTGTCCTGCATCGGCTACTGCGTGGGCCTGGGGAACGTCTGGCGCTTTCCCTACCGAGCCTACACCAACGGAGGAGGTATGGGCCTGAGGTCCCGTTGATGGGTGTCCGGGGTGCTGGGCCGAGGCTCTGGGGCGGAGTGAGCTTTTAAGGTGACCTTTGCCACTGTCTTCTGCGTGTCCTTGGGTGGATTGAGTTGAAAGTGTTTTGTAGTGGCCTGGGGCTGGGAGGAGGAAGCTCACTCTGCCTTGTCCCTTTTCGTCACCGAAGCCCCTCCTCCTCCCTCTCATCCCAGGATAGACACCCACGTGGTTTTCTCCCTGAGGCTGGGCGCTTCCTGGGCCCTGCGTGGTGGGCAGAGGGAGCTGCCTGCTTCGTGATAAAGAGCTGCATCTGCCTGTCCGCGAGCACTGTGCGGCAGCCTCCGCCCCGCCTCCTCCAGAGCCTCCTCCATCAATCATTCTCTCTCTTGAATCTTCAATCTCCCCTTCTCCCCTGGGTCCTTCCATTCAGACTGCAAACACGAAATCTCGCTCCTCTTAAAAAGATTCACTTTTATCCTTGCTTCTCCATCGAGTTACTGTTTTAGGTCTTATTAACAAGAGCCGGGTGGAGCGCTCACGACCTGTCTGGCCCTGGGCTTCGTGCTTTCCGTGCCCGTCTCCTTTAACCCTGACGATGACCCTCGTGGGCAGGCACCATGAAGATGTGGCAGCCAGGGCTGGGAGAGGCCCCCTTTCTTGCCCAAGGCCACACGGTGGCAGACCCGACATTCCAACCCAGTACTATCCTCTCCAGGGCCAATGTGCTCTCACTAGTAATCTGTATCTCTTCGCATCTCCTCCAAACTCTGTAAGAAGTGTGCGTTTATGAAGTGAGAGAATTCCAAATAAAACTAGATGAAGTAAGGCCAGGAGCAGTGGCTCACGACTGTAATCCTAGCACTCTGGGAGGCCGAGGCGGGAGGATCGCTTGAGCTCAGGAGTTCGAGACCAGCCCGAGCAAAAGCGAGACTCCATCTCTGCTAAAAATAGAAAAACTTAGCTGGGTGTGGTGGTGCACACCTGTAATCCCAGCTACTTGGGAGGCTGAGATAGGAGGAGAGGTTGCTGTGAGCTAGGCTGATGCCACGGCACTCTAGCCTGGGCAACAGAGTGAGACTCTTTCTCAAAAACAAACAAACAAAGAAAAACTAGATGAGGCAGGCCAGGCACAGTGACTCACACCTGTAATACCAGCACTTTGGGAGGCTGAGGCAGGAGGATCACTTGAGGCCAGGAGTTCGAGACCAGCCTGGGCAAAATAGCACAACCCCGTCTCTACAAGAAAAAAAAACTAGATGAAGCAAAGAGAAGATAAATTTATAGGGCTAGGACATGTGGAACTGGAGCCACCCTCTGAAAGTCCAAGAGCTCAGTGCTGCTCATGGAGTCTCTCGGCGCTTCCTCTCCCCATTTCTTTACTCGTTCTCTCTGCGTGCTGACCTCATTTTTTCCCGAGACAGGCTTTCTCCCTGCAGTTGGGGGGGTGGAGTGGCCACAGACAACTCTGGAATGACTTCATTCTCCGTGGGTTTAGCCACCCCGGAGCTTTCCAGAACTGCTCTATCTGAATGAATCTATACAGAATTGCAGGGAAGGTCTCTGATTGGCCTGGCTTGGGGTAAGTGCCCACAGGGGGGCAGGGGGTGGCTGGAGGGAGGGCAGGAGGGGGTTGGCTGGTGTGACTGGCAGCCCTTCCCGAGCCATGTGGTGGTGGGTAATTCTCTAAATGAGGCGGCTGCCAGTATGTGAAGAAAACGGGGAGGGATGTTGTGCCCACAGAGCCACAGTGGCAGCCACAAGTCTCTGGGGCAGAGGGGCTTGGTGGATGGATCGGGCATTGATCTTCTTCGGTAGGGAATTCACTCATTCCTTCCCTCGTTTATTCCTTTGCTCGTTCAGCAGGCGTTTCTCAGTGTCTGCCCTGAGCCCAGCCCTGTTCTGGGCACTGGGGCTGCAGAGGTGAGCTGATCACTGCCGGCCCCCTCAGCCCCAGGGATCAGGTGTAAAAGAGCAGACAGACCTCAGGGCCTCGTCAGGTCCCCAGCTGGTGTCAGCCCCCAGGGAGGAACGGAGCTAGAGCAGGCTTTGGGGGGAGCCACCCCTGAGACCCTTGCTGACCCTCCCTCCGCAGGCGCCTTCCTCGTGCCCTACTTCCTCATGCTGGCCATCTGCGGCATCCCCCTCTTCTTCCTCGAGCTATCTCTGGGCCAGTTCTCCAGCCTGGGGCCGCTGGCCGTCTGGAAAATCAGCCCCCTCTTCAAAGGTGAGGCCTCCGTGGTCCCCAGGGGGGTGGGTGTCTGGGCCTGGGGCAGCGGGGAGGTTGCCCTACCCCAGCCCCAAGCTCCAGAGAGACAGGGAGATGAGCCCAGAAAGGTGCCAGCTGCCTGGGGCCACACCGCCAGCCTGCGGTGGGCTCGGCCAAGCAGCCTCCCCCCACTCCAGGTGCTGGCGCAGCCATGCTGCTCATCGTGGGCCTGGTGGCCATCTACTACAACATGATCATCGCCTACGTCCTCTTCTACCTCTTCGCCTCCCTCACCAGCAACCTGCCCTGGGAGCACTGCGGCAACTGGTGGAACACAGACCTCTGCCTGGAGCACAGAGGCTCCAAGGACGGCAACGGGGCCCTGCCCCTCAACCTCACCTACACCGTCAGCCCCAGCGAGGAGTACTGGAGGTCAGGCTGCTGCCGCCTGGCAGCGTGAGAGGGCCCCACGCAGCCCGGGGTGGGCAGAGGGCAGGAAGGCGCCCCATCCCCAAGGGGCTCAGCGCGCACCTGGAAGATGAGTTCAGGCGCTGGTGGTAGGTGGACTCTGGCCTCCATCCCAGCTCCTCACCTGACCAGCTGTGTGGCCTTGAGCAATTTATTTGGCTGCCATTGCTTTGTCTTTAGCATGGGGTCAATAATAGTCGCCGTTTCAGAGGCTGCTGGGAAGGTCAAGGGAAGGAAGCACGTGAGTTGTGCAGTCCAGTCTGGTGAATGGTCAGTGCTCAGGAAGAGCTAGCTGATGAGGATGATGGTGGTGATGATGATGACAGTAACAGTAACATCATGGAGTCTCAGTTTCCTCCTCATAACAGGGGGTGCTAATAGCCCCTACTTTATACAGTGTTGTGCAGTCATTTACACACTTGTTTATTCTTTTAATAAATATTTACTGAGCGCCTACTATATCCATAGGTAAAGCACTTAACACAGGGCCAGGACTATACACAGTAAGGACCATCTCAGATTTGTCTAACAGGAGACGTAAGACTCTAATGGAGTAAGGGATTGTCACAAGAATTAAACAAGGTAACACAGGTAAAACTGTCCCCACGCGCCAGGCACATTGTGGGCCCTGGGAATGGTGGGACACTGTTGCTCATCACCCCATCCCAATGCCCCAGCCCATAGCTGAGAAAACAGGGCCCAGAGTCTCACTCGGTAGTTAATGACAGAGGTAGTACTGGCACTAAGGACTCTTGATTCCTGATCCTGTTCCAGAACATTCTAAAGTAGCCTGGTCCCTGAGTGGGGACCACTGGCTGGCCAGAGAACACAGACTAGACATACCTTCACCTACACAGGGCTGCTCTTAGGAATTTTCCCCCACGTGGGCCCCAGGTCTTGAAATGTTTTGGTCTCCAATCTGCATGTTCTACCCGGTTCATTCATGCGTCTACACCTGCTTCCGAGCACGTCTGACCAGTGGGAAAGGAAGGGCCTGGGTTCACAGCTTAAAGCCAAGGAACTTGACATGGTCGCTGGCAGCTGCGAGGGGTCTCCATGGCAATGCCACGGCCCACTGGCTCAGTCGGGCATGCAGATGGCAGCGGGCAGGAAGCAGATGGCACTGTCAGAGGGCTTACCTGAAGGGAGTCTAGTGAAGGGATTTCTTGAGGGTCAGGGAAGCCACAGGGAAAGGTGAGGCATCAGGGACTAGCCATGGGGAGAGGGCGGTACCACGAACCAAGGAGGCAAGGGGAGGGAACCAGGGGAGAACTGGAGCCTCAGAAGAGTGACTGCCCAACGAGAGCTGTGGCTGCAGAGGAACAGTGCCATGGCCAGCCCCCTGAGGGCACGTAAGTGTGTACACACATGTGTGTGCAAATACCTCGCTCCTCCCACCCTCCAATATCCTGCTGTTGCCTCCCATCCACCAAACCAAATGGAAGGTGGACAGGAAGGAGCCCAGGTGATGGAGTCTGTAGAGGCCAGCCTCCTGGGAGCAGAGCTAGTCAGAGACGGACCGGGGAACAGGAGGGTGACACGTGGAGAAGAGCAGGAGGGCTGCGCAGGCTGGACACGGCTCGACTCCATGTCTGTGTAGCGTGTCTGTGGACCAGAGGACACTGAGACCTTTGTCTCCCACAGCCGCTACGTCCTCCACATCCAAGGCAGCCAGGGCATCGGCAGTCCCGGGGCGATCCGTTGGAACCTCTGCCTCTGCCTGCTGCTGGCCTGGGTCATCGTGTTCCTCTGTATCCTCAAGGGTGTGAAGTCCTCGGGCAAGGTGAAGCCTGGGGGGCCCTGGAGGCCTGAGGGGCTGGGTTGGGGGAGGGCTTCCTGCGGGAGGCAGGGCACGGGCTGAGTCTGGGAAAATGCATAGACTTCAGCCAGGAAGAGGGGAAGGGACAGGGCCCTGGGGGACGAGCTCTGCCTGAAGGAAGATGTGGAAATGCAGACGAGCAGTGGGCTCGGCTGCCCTGCTGGGCCGGAGGCTCGCCGAGGCAGGGTCTGTGTGTTACCCAAGTGCATCCTTACCCGGCGCTTGGCACTTTGAAGGAGCTCAGCAAGAGTTTGTTGAATGCTTGGAGGGTGCCTATGTGAGTCAGGGCTCTTTGAGATGCAAGTGACCCGAATCCAGCTGTCACATTCACTTGGAAAGTCCGGAGGGTGTGCTTTGGGCACGGCTGGGTTTAGGGGTTCAACAGATGCTGTCCGGGTCTCGGCAGTGCTTTCTTCCAGGTTGGCTTCCTTCTCCATGAGGTTGACCCTCGCAGCTCTAGGCTTCCATCTTCTCTGCTTGGTGAAGGGTTGTCTCCTTCCCCAGCTCACAAATATCCTAGAATTGAGTCTCATTGGGTGAGCAAGGCCAAATACCCATCCCTGAGCTAATCTCTGTGGCCGAGGGGGTGGGATGCTCTGCTTGCCTGGGCCCTGGAACTGGGAATTGTGTCGTTCCCAGCTAGGGAAAGTCAGGATACCGTTATCTGAAGAAGACAAACTAAAACTGGGAAGACAAAGCCACAGATGTCTACTTTAGGTGATGAAGGAGGGGGTGGAAGGGTGATGAAGCCATTTCAGAAGGACTTGGAAGCCTTCTGAATGGTTTACTCAATCTTTTATTAATTAGATCTTGTCCCTCTGCAACGTGTGAGAAGTGTCATCCACAAGCAACAGAACCATTAGAAGAAAGACTAAAAAGACAGGGCAGAAAGCATTTAGAAAGAGGGGAGAGGTGATCACGGTCAAAGCCAAAGCCATGAGATGTTGAGACTCGATAGTATTTGCTGAAGGAGTGGCTGACAGTTTGGGAAAAGGAGGAAAGAGGGCAGAGGGGAGTTTGGGAACGCCGGATGTCTGGTGAGCGTGTGGAGTGGGTTTGCAGGGGCAGAGAGTGGACATGGGGCGGAGGAGGCCTGGACCAGGAGCCGCAGTGGAGATGGATTTGGGCTGCCTTGGGAAGTGGGGTGACAGCACTTTGCTGATGCTGGCGTGTGGAGGAATGAGGGAGGGACAGAGAAGCATCCTGGATGAAGGCTGGCTCCTGGCTTGGCCTTCCCAAAGGTTGGGGAGGTAAGTCACAAGATGAGGATTGTATGAAGAGGAGCAGCATAGAAGGAGGGTGCCCGGCCTTCAGCTCCCCACTTTTCATCTCCCAGGTGGTGTATTTCACGGCCACGTTCCCCTACCTCATCCTACTCATGCTGCTGGTCCGCGGAGTCACCCTCCCGGGGGCCTGGAAGGGCATCCAGTTCTATCTCACCCCCCAGTTCCACCACCTGCTGTCTTCCAAGGTGAGGCCCTCAGGGCTGGGGTGCACAGGGAGGGGTCGGGCCAGAGCCTGGGAGTGGAAAGAGGGCTCCTTGGGGACAGGAGGGGGCAGGGTCTGGAATCTTGCAAGTGGGGAGCCCAGTTCCAGTGTGTGCCGGGAGGTTAGAATGCTCTGCCTGGCTGGGCCTGGGTCACATGCCCACCCCTCGGTCCCGTGTGTCTTTTTAAAATTGTTTATTTATTTTATTATTTATTTAAGTTTTTATTTTCAAACTGATAGATAAAATTGCACGCATGTATCAGGTACAACATGATGTTTCGAAGCATATATACCTCATGGAATGGTTACCTCTGGCTACATGTGCATTACCTCACGTAATTATCATTTTTGCGGTGAGAATATTTATTAATAACATCCATCCACTCTCTTAGCATTGTTCAAGAATATAATACATTGTCATTAACTATGTATTATACTTCATTTATTATTCTCAACAATCCTGTGAAGTAAACATCACTCTCCCATTTTACAGATGAAGAGACTGAGGCCTAAAAGAGTTGGTTTATAAGCTTACAGTCACACGTCTGGGGAGTGGCAGAGCAGGGCTCCCAGCGCATACCTGTGTGACTCCAAGCCCCAAGGCGGGTGTTAGTAATGATGATGACAGCAGTGTACTGACAGCGAACATTTACTACTTACTGTGACCGGTGACTGTGCCTGACCCTCCTCTAGCGTTTTGCACATGTGCAGTGATTTAAGCCTCACCGTCCCCCTGTGAGGTGGGCACTATTCCTATCCCCTCGTTACAGATGAGGGTCCTGCGGTCCAGAGAGGTGCTGTGGCTTCCCAGCCTGTACGGCTAGAAAGTGGCATGGCCGGGACCCAAATCCAGGTCCCTGTGACTCCAGGCAGGAAGTAAAGGAGTCTCACAGGCTTGTTGTCAATATGAATCTACTGAAATTTTACATTAGGCACTACGTCCTTCAGAACTGGACCATGCTTAGAGATCATCTTCTAGATCCTGGGTGGGAAACTGAGGCCCACAGAGGGCAAGGGACTTGCCCATGTCCCAGAGGGTGAGCCTTGGGGCACGGTTTGCTCCGGGCCCACATCACTTGTGAGCCAGGCTGTTGGCCACACCGTCCCTGGACCTGTTGCCCTGTCTTCACCCACCTTCCTTCTCTCTCCCTGGCCCTCTGCACACCACCGTGTGCCGGCCCCTCTCTCTGCCCCTTGCATCCTTCTTGGCACAGGTGTGGATCGAAGCTGCTCTCCAGATCTTCTACTCCCTGGGTGTGGGCTTCGGGGGTCTCCTCACTTTTGCCTCCTACAACACCTTTCACCAGAACATCTATAGGTCAGTGCCCTGCAGCCTCCAAGACCCTGGGGGCCAAAGCTGGGAGGAAGGTGGCTGGCGAGGGAGGGCCTCGGGGGTTGAGGATAAGGCCAGCTCACCCTGACCTGTGCCTGGACTTCTCCTGGCAGAGACACCTTCATTGTCACTCTGGGCAATGCCATCACCAGCATCCTGGCTGGCTTTGCTATCTTTTCCGTGCTGGGCTACATGTCTCAGGAGCTAGGCGTGCCGGTGGACCAAGTAGCCAAAGCAGGTGGGTAGGCTGCCAGGCCTTGGCGGGGCGAGGGTGTGTGTTGGGCACAGCTGGGTGGGGCCAGTGAGCCTATATGTGGACCAGCAAGATTGTGCATGGGTATGTTGTGTGTGCGTGTGTGTGTGTGCGCACACATGTGTATGCAAATGAGCATGTCCTAACTGGTCTTTGAGTATCCATATGCAAAGGGATGGGTGTGCAAATGAGTGTGCATGAACCCGTGTCTGTATGAGAGTGTCATGTTTTGTGCCTTGTTTGTACAAATGAAACGTGTTCAGATTTCTGTGTGCAGACAGAGTGAGGATGATCTTGGAATCAATGTGTCTTGTGCCGATGGATGTGTGTTAGTGGAATTATTTGTCAAATGACTGTATACGTAAGTGTGTTCTAATGAGGTTTTCATTTGGGTCTTGTGTTTATTCATGTACTTACTAACTCATCTATTCTATCAACCTATGTCTAAGGGGCACCTACAACGTGCCGCCCTTTGTCCTAGGAGTTAGGAAGTGTCGGAGTGTGCATTGTGTGCACGTCTCTGGGCTTGGCTAAAACAGTGGCCCAGGAGGGTGTGAGCGGCCATGTGTGTTTGAGTGTGCACATGGGGGCCCGCTGCATGCCCCAAGCTCTTGACCCCGTGTGCCCTTGGCCCAGGCCCCGGCCTGGCCTTTGTTGTCTACCCCCAGGCCATGACCATGCTGCCTCTGTCGCCCTTCTGGTCCTTTCTCTTCTTCTTCATGCTTCTGACCCTCGGCTTGGACAGCCAGGTGAGCCTCGTCCACGGCAGCAGGCACCTCGTGGGGTGTGTGTTTGTGTGTATGTGTGTGTGTGTGTGTGTGTGTGTGTGTGGTGGGTGCAGGACTCTGGCCCCCAACCCGTCTCCTCCCCACAGTTTGCCTTTCTGGAGACCATTGTGACAGCTGTGACAGACGAGTTCCCGTACTACCTGCGGCCCAAGAAGGTGGTGTTCTCGGGGCTCATCTGCGTGGCCATGTACCTGCTGGGGCTGGTCCTCACCACGGAAGTGAGTGGCGCGACAGGGAGGATGGCAGGCAGGGTGGGCCTGTGCAAGAGTGGGCTGTCGTGAGGCCGAGGAGACTGAGCAGGTGGCCAGCTGTCGTCCTGTGGGCTGGCACCATTGGCCAGCCTGGCTGCTTCCCAATCCCTTCTTGCCAGGAGAAGGGGGCTGCAGCAGGGAGCGAGGCTGGGAGAGGGGCCTATCTCTGCGACCTGTGTTCCAGGGGGGCATGTACTGGCTGGTCCTTCTGGACGACTACAGCGCTAGCTTCGGGCTGATGGTGGTGGTGATCACCACGTGCCTCGCCGTGACCAGGGTGTATGGTGAGAAGGGCTGTGCGTGGCGGATGTGAGGCTCCCCGCAGTGGGAGAATGGGAGTCCACCCTGGAGCCCCCCTGCACCGGGGTCCCTGGTCCCAAGGGCTAGGGTTTCCGGTGGGGGCAGTTGGGGTAGAGGAGGGGCTGCTGGTGCTTGTGGGGCCTGCGGGTGGGGCCATTCCTCCTCCCCACCCCTTGCAGGCATTCAGAGGTTCTGCCGAGACATCCACATGATGCTGGGCTTCAAGCCGGGCCTCTACTTCAGGGCCTGCTGGCTGTTCCTGTCCCCAGCCACGCTCTTGGTAACCGGGGCTGCGAGGGAGGGTTGCTGACTGGGGCCCCCGGGCTGAGAGCAGGATCCCCTCTGCACATTCAGTCTGGCAGGGCCGCCCTGGTCCACAGGGGAGCCTCTGTCAGGGCTATGGGGTGGGCATCAGGTTCTTTGTTTGCACTCCCCCCCACCCCATGGTGTCCCCGGCTTTTGTGGCCGCGTTGGGCTTTGGTTGGGGCTTTCCCGGGCCTCAGGGCCTCAGGGCCTCAGAGCTGGGACCTTGAAGCTGTGCTTTCTCCTGTTGGGGTTGGCACAGCTCAGAGATGGTCATCTCAGGAATTAGGGTGCTTCTGAACTGTCGTGCTTCCGAACCGGTGCTTCTGCTGGGCTGTTGCAGGCCTTGGTGTTGGGTTAGCTTGGAGCTGGGCTAGCTCAGGCCTTGCAGAGGCTCCAGAGATGGACCATCTCAGGTCTGGTACAGTTTAGGACATTGGGTGGCACTGGGCTGGGCTATCTCAGACCTCAAGGTAGCTCAGACCTGGGCTATCCCAAGCCCTGGGGCCCACTGTGACGCTGGCAGTCCCTGCCCCTGCAGGCCCTGCTGGTGTATAGCATCGTCAAGTACCAGCCCTCAGAGTATGGCAGCTACCGCTTCCCGCCCTGGGCCGAGCTGCTGGGCATCCTGATGGGCCTGCTGTCCTGCCTCCTGATCCCAGCCGGCATGCTCGTGGCTGTGCTTCGAGAGGAGGGCTCGCTGTGGGAGGTGAGTGCCCCGCCCTGCTTGCCCTCCACCTTCCTGCCCTGTGGCCCTGCCCTGGGCCCCCCTGCCGGGGAACAGAAGACAGCTGCACCAACACCCTGTCCAGGGCATTGCAGGTTTCTTACAGCCTGAGACAGATCCACCTTGTGCCACATGGAGCCTCGGGGGAGGGGTGGCACAATCCAGTGACCCCTGATGACAGGGGGCTGGCTCGGGTCTCTCGGTGAGTTAGGCAAGGATCAGGACTTGAACTCATGTCACCAGACCAGAGCTTCCCTCTGGAACTCAGGGTCAAATGGCAAGACTGAGGGACCCCAGTGGGTGGCTTATCACCCTTCTCCTGTGCCCACATGTCCCACGGGTGGCCTGGGATAGAATGATGGTGTGAGCCCTGTCTATGGCCAGGATTTTGGAGACAGACCCAGAAAACAGAGTGCAAGCTGTTTGGCACAGGGGTCTGCGGGCCTTGGGAAAGGGGAGTAGTGACCCAGTAGTGACGTGCTGTATGACCACAGTGAAATCCGTCCCTCCCTGAGCCTCAGGGCACCCAAGGGACACTGAGCCCTTGACTTCTGCAGCCACAGGTGTGGAGTCCTCGGGTGGCAAGACGCTGCCGTTGTGCATGGAGCTGGAGTGAGCCTGACGGGGCCTAGACAGAGTGTGGGGGACCCCAGCCCCAACACACACACACACACACACACACACACACACACACACACATCCATCCCATCAGAGGTGCTGGAGCCAGCTCCTACTGGTTCGTGAGAGCTAATCATGAAATGCTCAGGAATGTGCCAGCCGGTTGTTAAATCTTTGATAGCTTGACACTGACAGTGACAGGAATATTTACACCACTGAAACTGGCTGCAGAGCAGCCTCCCCTCCCCCTCCCCTCCTGCACACCCACTTAGCAGCGCATCGCTGTCCCCGCTGAGGTGCACTGCCCCTCGGCGGCCCTCGGCTCACCTTCACATCTGCCCCTGGAGAGAGACTCAGCGCCCTGCCAGTCTTCCCAGGCAGAAGTGGGTTGTGGCCACAGCCCCCAGACCACAGGGGCAGCCTGGAGTCCAGCCTCTGCTCCGCCTCCAGCTGCTGTGTGACTTGGGGCAAACTCCTTCCCTTTTTCGAAACTCAGGAGCTCCACCTGTGCTACTAAAGGAGCCTCATCTCCTTGCTTGGGAGCCAGGGTGTCTGCAAGGGGAAGGAAGAGACAGAGAAACCATTGGCAGGCTTCTGAGCAGTGGGGTGACATGCTCTTAGCACACTTTCCGAAATCTCACCCTGCTGTGCCAGGGCCCGGGACCTGCGCCCAGCAAGCTGCACTTCTTGCTGGTTGCCTCCGTTTCTTTAAGGGTCCAGGGGCTCTTCTCCCTAGCAGAGCAGGTTTGGGGAATGTGATTGAGGAAGGAGGAATTCCGGAATGTCCAGGCTTAGTCATCATTTTAGTCAGCCCCCTCCTTCCATGGAAACTGGGGCTCCAGAGAGAAAGGTCAGAGTCAGAAGGAGCCAAGAGGTCAGGGCTGGAAGAGACTGGGGACGTCAGCTGCAATCCCGCCTCAGTTCTCCTGGGTCATGGCTCTGTCCCAAAAGCTCCCAGCGCCTTAGCGCCCAGCATTTAAGGGAAGACTTCCGGATTGGCCTTCAGATGCTCAGAGGAGGGGCTTGCCAAGTAATTATAACAACAGCCACCATTTCCGGGCCTTACCCTGTCCCCATCACCCCGCCAAGTGCATCATCTCAGTGTCCTCACAGCAACCCTATGAGGGGCTCAGGACTCCCGAGTTACAGACCAGGAGGCAGAGCATGGAGAGCTCGGTGGCATTGGCAAAGGCCATCCAGCTTGTAAGTGGCAGAATGGGATTCTCACCCGGGCATGTGGATCACTCCCTTGGCCCCCACCCCACGCCATCACCTCCCCTCGCCGCCTCTGGTCCCAGGGTTGTTGCAAGGACTCCGCCAGGTGATGTGGCGAGGTCACCGCCGGGAGCCTGGCCCCAGTAAGGGCTCTGCCAGCCCTGCCCGTTTTCACCGCTGTCGTTAATCTGCCGCAGCGGCTCCAGCAGGCCAGCCGGCCAGCCATGGACTGGGGCCCGTCGCTGGAGGAGAACCGGACAGGCATGTACGTGGCCACGCTGGCCGGGAGCCAGTCGCCCAAGCCCCTGATGGTGCACATGCGCAAGTACGGGGGCATCACCAGCTTCGAGAATACGGCCATCGAGGTGGACCGGGAGATTGCTGAGGAGGAGGAGTCCATGATGTGAGGCAGGAGGCAGGTGGACAGAGGCCCTGCCAGGCCTCACAGTCCCTCCAGCTGCCCACAAGGGCCAGCTGTGCCCTCTGGGGTTGTGAGAGGCTGTGGGAGGCGATGCTGGTCCCTTTTGTGGCCACTTCCTCTCCTGAAACCTCGGTCAACTCCCTGTACACACACACACACACACACACACACACACACATTCAAACCTGAGAATGACCCAGCTCAGCCCCACTTTGCAGATAGGCAAATTGAGGCCAGGAAGGTGGGCACTTGCTCAAGGTCACATGGCAGAGGGGACTCTACCCCAGGCCTCCTGACCAGCCAGCTCCCTTTCCCATGGGGCAGCTGGCACCACCTTCTCATCTCTGTTCAGGGCCCACAGCCCTCCCTTTTCTCGGGAAGCCTGTCCCCACTACTTCAACACAAGCAGAATCTTGAGCTGGGTGGGGAGAGTCAGGGCCGCAGAAGGGACGGAGGGCCAGTAAGTCAAATGGGGAGAGGGATCCGGGGGGCTCCTGCAGCACACCTGGTGGGTGGGTCTCCTGAAGGAGGTGGGAGTTGAGAGCCCAGGAGGATGGGAACGGTTCGCAGAAAGAGGGAGAGGAGAGCAGGGTGGGAGGGCCTCTGGGCCAGGAGGAGGCAGAGCTGGGTGGGGCAGAGACCATTGCCAGGTTGCCGGAAGGTTCCAGTCCAGTCGGAAGGGAAACTGCCAGGGACCAGGATGGGCGGGCAGGGGTTGCATGAAGGGGAATACGGTTCTGGGTTTGTGCAGGGCAGATCCGAGGGGGGCAGGGTGGAGGTGGGAGGCCCATGGAGGAGGGACAAGAGGTGATGGTGGCCTGAGCCGGGGCATTGGGGCTGTGGGTGGGGACAAAAAGGAAGCCCCAGCAGTTCAGAGAAGGGCCACCCCTTCACCCAGCCAAGCCAGAGCTGCGCAAGCTGGGGAGGTGGGAACGAAGGTCGCAGCCCCTTCTGTCTTGTCCCGGCGGCCCTTGCTGTGTCCCGCAGCTCCAGGCAATCCTGGGAAGCTGGCCTTGGCTGTAGATGGCTGGGCAGCCTTGAGACCCGGAGGTGGTCCCCGCGCATGCCCAGCTGCTCTGGGCCTGGGCTGGGAGGAGGGCTAGCAGAGAGCAGACGGCAGCCTCGGTTCTGCGGGTCCCTGAGAGAGGAGGGTGGGGTGCAGAAATGCCTGAGCAGGACTCTTGCACACGGCATTCTCCAGAAGGGCAGGGTACCCTCGTGCAGCTGTGTAGCCTCTGCGCCCTGTCTCTGGTGTCTCCCCATCCCATCTGTGTTCTGTCGGCTGCTATTAATAAATACCACCTGAAGTCGTGCTCCTTGGCCTGTCTCCGTACTGCTGGGAGCCGTGGGGTGGGCAGCACAGGCCTGCCAGCTCCCACTGGACAGATGAGGAAACTGAGGCTCAGCTACCTCCCTTCCCGGCTCTCCTGGCCTCTGACAAGGGCTCTGCCGTTTCCCTGACAGTATGGGTGGACTGGGCTGAGGAAGGAAGAGGAACTCTAGGCCCTTAGAGACCACTCGGTCCCCGTCGTCCTACATATGGAGGCCCACGGAGGGAAGAGACTTGCTCAGGGTTACCCAGCCAAGGCACACAGAGCCCTTCGTCCCCCACCCCCTCCCGGCTGCCTTTTCCTCTCCCAGCACCTCAGCCTTTACCGCAGGTGGAGGCTAGATCTGCAACAGCGGGCTTGGGAGGAGCCAAGAGTTTCCCAGGCAGGAAGAATTTCCTGGTTCCACCCACCCCCTCCTGGCAGGGCCTTGTCATATAAAAGAGCCCCAGGGCCTTTCAAATGCGAGGCCCAGGTGTTTGCCAGGGCTTTGATGGGGGGTGGAAAGGAAGGGCGGCTGCATAGTTCAGATATTAATAAATTCCCCCTAACAAAGGGCCAGGCCCCCCTCCCACCCCTCTCTGTTTAGGGCTCTAAATGGGGGAAAGAGATGAATTTGCTCATTTGTGAAGGAGGCAAGGACGACCTTCACAATTCGGGGTGCTTGTTCCCACACTGGGTGGGTGGCTGCAGCCCTGAGCCCTCCCAACGCGCCCCAGCAGAGCACCTGGCCTGGGGGGTGTCCTCTCCCAGCCTCTTGGCTGCAGCCAGGCGTCCTGGGAGACAGCGAGGGAGGCTCCCAGAAGTCTAGGCTTCTCTTCTCTCCAGACTCCAAGAGTGAGATCCGAGGGTTCTAAGAACCTGTGGGTCCCAGTGGCCCGCCCCGCCTCTGCCTCTGGGCCTGTGGTCCCTGTCCTGCCCTCCCTGGCCCAGCCTTCCAGTCTGTCCTGCTTTTTCCATTTCCTCTGCTCTCAGGCAGCCATTCCTGCCGCCCCACCCGCTCCTCCCTCCATTGCCTGCGCCATCTCCCAGCTGCTCCCGTCAGGGTCCCTTCATCGCGGTCAGGTCTCCCAGGCCAGGCCCTGATTGCAGTGGGAGCTGACTGGGGAGCGGGGAGCCCCAGGGGAGGGACCCGTGACCGCACAGTGGGCACCTCAAAGGACATGGCAGCCCTGTTCGCAGTGGGAATGTTCTCGTCAGTGGCAACCCCATGTGCCTACAGGGCCAGCCGGGGAACCTAGGCGAGCCCAGCTGTCCCTGTGAGCGGGATAATAAGCAGCAACTGGCCCTCAGGGAGTGCCGGAAAGACGAGAGGGAGCGGTGGGGTCTGTGGTAAGCTAGAGGAGAAAGCGCGAAGGGGTCTACCTTTCAGAAGGTGACCCGGGATCGGCTTTCTGAGAGCGGCTGGAAAGCTGGGTTCATATGGGGATTTCCTAACTTGAAATGTGGACAACTGATTCAGAAGTTGTGAAACAGGATGGCTCAATCAGGGCCTCCCGTCACCTCCCCGCAGGCTGACTGCTCTGCAGACTTAGGGGGTGAGCAGGGCCAGGGCTTGCCCGACGACCTAGGTGGGAATGGGGGCTGAGGCAGGCCCAGGGCTCTCCCCTCACTCGAGCCTCCCTGTCCCGTCTCATCCGACCCCTGCGATCTGTGTCCGTGGATACCTGAACGTGGGAGGCTGCCGTGGAGCCCTGGGGGCAGCTCACGCGCCTGTGGGGAAGGTGCCCTGGGCCCTTCATTCCTGTTCTGGGTCTGGTCAGAGGTGTCCCCTGGGTGCCAGGAGACGCTGAGACGAGGCACTGGAGCATCTGCAGTCACCTCCAGCCTGTGATCTCTGAGAGCAAACATGGAGGGGAAGGGGTGAGGGGAGCAGAGGAGGGGCTCCTCCCCACACCGTTAGCGTCAGCCGTGTTCCCAAGGCCAAGCGAGGGCCACCAGACACCGGGGGTCACACTGGTTTGGTTGCCTCAGTGTTTGGTCCTCGGTAGGCCCTGCCCCCTGGGCTCCGCTCCATCACCAGCCCAGTTCGTCTTCACACTGTGCCCTGAGCAGGCCCAGGCTGTGCTGCCCCCCGGCCTTCACTTAGGCAGTGCCTTCCGCCCTGCTCCGACGACTTCCAGGCACCTCTCGGGATCCTCGCCATCCTCCCAAGTCTCTCCTAAGTACCCCTCCTCCGTAAGCCTTCCTCCGTCCCCAGCCAGATGTGCCTCCAGAGTCTTCAGGGGTCTGACTCAGTCCCACATCTGGCGATTCCCGACAGCCCAGCCCTGCCTGCCCAGGGCGCTCGTGTCCTTCTGAGACAATGTATTTTATTTCTGTGTAGTTAAGACTCTTACATCGTGCCTCTTGGACCCCAGAGCACTTTGGGGCAGCAGCAGGGCGTTGTGCAGAGAGCTCATTCTCATCTCTGCTCCTGCCTGGCTGTGCGGTCTTGGGGAAGTCACTTAACCTCTCTAAGCTTTAGGTTCTTTACCTGTAAAACACGGGAAATAACTCTAACTTCTCGGCAGCATCGCCCGGCTTTGGGTTGGTGCTGCAGGGCCCCAGCACAGGGTCTCGGTGGGCATGTGACACACACTTGTTGATGGAAGGAACACATTTGTGTCCACAGTCCTGCCCCACCACCAACTCCTCCAGGACAGAGACTGGACTGTCCTCATCTCTCAGTCCCCCCAGTGACCACACGGGGCTGGTTTGCAGCTTTGCAGGATGGAGCGTCGAACTGAACGCAGTTCTTTGGTGGCTCTGGGGATAACCAGCAAAGAGTTAAGACGGTGTCAGGCCCCTCCGGATCCCACGTGACCCTTGGTGGCGGAGCCTCAGGGTCTGCGGTGGACTCTCTCCTCCAGACTCATTTTTTGCTGGTGGCTCATGGAAAGTTTGGTTCCTTGAGCTCCAGGCCACTCCCTCCGGGGCCTGGGGCCTCACTGACGCTGGTCCTGCCCTGGAAGGGTGTCCAGGGCTGCCTGCCCGCCCTCGGATCCTTGGCCAGCATACCCCCGCTCCATCTCTGCCTGACTTCCTGCCGCCTGGGCCTGCTCCCCCAGGACAGAGCAGCAGCCCGCCCCTCCGGCCACAGGGAGGCCTCCTCTCTGCTCTCCCATCCAGGAGCACTCTTTGTTTGGGGAAAAAAGCCTTTTCCCGCTCAAGTGCACAGCCTCTGTGAGCTGCAATCCCTAGAGAACTGCAGCCGGTAGGGGCCAAGGAGGACTTGGACACCCACTGGTCAGAGTGGAATCCCAGCTCCACGGTGCAGCTGAATCTGCTACTTCACCTCTCCCAACCCCGGTGTCCTCAGATGTAAAATGGGGAGAATAGTTTTTGCCTTGCGGGGGATTAAATGAGATAATATAGAGGCTCAATATATAGTTTTAAAAAATGATCAGACTGCTTAGAGCAAAACATGGCATGTAGAAACCTTCTAGATGGGGCGGTTCTCGTTAGCCAGCTGTTCCTTGTACAGTTGAGGAAACTGAGGCTTAGCCCAGGGAGAAGGAGGTTGGGGGTTGGCATGGCTGGAGCCAGGGACAGGCCGCGCTGGAGGCTCAGGGCACCATCCAGTTCCATGGCAATGTGCCTTGGAGCCAGGCCTCGGTGTCCCCATCTGGGAGATGAATGGGTTGAACAGGAACAGCGAGCCCCACAGAGGTGCCTGGGGGAGAGAGGCGAGCGAGGGGGCCCTCTGCCTCCACCCGCCCCCTTTCAGCCTTCTGCTAGGACCACGCCCAGGGAGCTGGGGAGGGGAGCAGCAGCCCCTTCTTCAGAGATGGATGTGGCATTGGCTCTGGCTGGTGGGAAGGAAGTTTTATTCCTCCTGCGGGATGAGCTGGAGGAGTGGCTGGGAGCCCTGACGGTTTCTCCAGTCAGCTGGGATGCCCAGCCAAAGTGGGGTGGGAGTGGGCACAGCAGCAACACCATCCTGGTCCCAAGCCTTGCTTTGACCTTGACTCTGCTGATCCAGGGTCAGGGTCTCAGAGAGCTTCTACGCTTGGGGAGGAGTTAGAGGCAGCGGAGGGGCCTTCGGTCAATATTGATTTAGCTGAGTCAGGGAGGAGGACAGGCAGCGGGAAGCCTGAGGCAGGGAGAACCCGATAACTGTATCTTCAGGTTCCCATTGTGACTCGGGGGGACTGGGGGAGGGGTGCTCAATGCAGGGTTCCCAAACCTGGGTGCTTACTAAAACTACAGCTGCCTGGACCCCTGCCCAGAATGATCGAGGGTGGGGCCAGAAACATCTGTATTTTTAGCAAACTCCCTGGTAATTCGGCAGCAGCCAGCTCAGTTCCTCTATTTGGGGACCACGGGTTCAATGTCATTGTAATAATGAGGAAACTAAGGCCCAGAGAGGGGACATGACCCATCCAAGGTCACATTGGGAGAAAATGGTGATAATCCCCCCTTTTTCCTTGCGGGGAAGGGACAGTCCACCTGTAGCTCCCCCTAACTCCCTCCACCTTCAGCTGAGGCCCTGGGCCGGGGAAGGGATGGCCGGACCAGGCTGCCCGGAGGGAAGTGGCGTCTGAGACCTTGGTGGCCGAGGTGGAGAAGGGAGAGTGGGGCTGCCCTCAGGAGGAAACACAAGGAGAGGGGCCGATTCCCGCAGCGCCGGACCCGCCCACCTTGCGCTGGGCAAACACTCCCACCATCTGCTGCGGGATGTTTCCTAAGGATTGGCTACGACCCAGGTCTGGAGAAGGCCATGTCCACTGCTGGGGGCCGGCCCGTGCCCTGGAAAGGCACACCCATCCCGTGGCTGATGCGGGCTCACTCGGCCCTCTGACATTTCCAGCCTCCTCCCAAGCCTGTTCTCCTCTCAGCCGCCACCCCTACGTGTTCTGGGCTCTCAGCCTTTGCTGTGGCCCCCACAGCCCCATCACTGTCTTTCCTCCTCCTGCTTCCTCTGGGCTGCTGTGCGCTTTGTAGCTCCAGGTCCAGCCCCATCCTGGTCTGCCCTGGGATCTTGCTTTCTGCATGTCTCTCGCTGTCTGGAATGGCATCGGGGATTCCTGGGGGACAGGAGACAGGTCGAGCTCATCCCTGAGCCCCCCTTGCAGCTCAGCCCAGCTGCAGCCTGTCCCAGGGAAGTCCCAGTCTCACCTCCCTCCCTCGTGCCCTGGGCCGTCTCTGGCAGGTTCTCTTCCCCTTGGGCAGCACAGTCTCCTCTTTCATGGAATGAAGAGAATAATGGCGCCCACCGCAAGGGCTGTGCTGAGCACTGAGGGAGCACTTGGTCAGCACCCAGGAGGTGTTAGCCATGTGACTGCAGAGGCGGGTGAAATACTTGTACCCACCCAGCATCTGCTCCTCCCTCGCTCCAGCGGCACACACCTGCCAGGGCTCTGCTCTCTGCAAGGCTGATGATACCTGCTGCCTGCATCCTGAGCACAGGCAAGAGGCCGTCCTGCCTTCAAGGTGCACACGCTTTGTAGACATTAGTTAAGTGACTTTAAACCAGAGACCTGTGGTGAGGTAGGCGGAGGCAGTTACGGAAGCCTGTGGAAGGACCGACCCCAGAGTGTGCTGGGGAGTCAGGGGAAGCTTCCCAGAGAAGAAGATGCTGGAGCTGTGTCCTGAAGGGTCAGGAGCTGTTGCAATGCTCTGAGCAAGAGAATGGGGTTGGGGGGCAGCCCTCTGCTGAAGGTGTGGAGTATGCAGGCTGCGGGTGTAGACAACTGAGAGACGGGGCAGCAGCTGGAAGAGGACAGAGGGTTAAAGGGAGGTGAGTATGTGAGAATCCCAGTGACTATGTGCCGGCTGTCCAGAGACAGGGACCGGGAAGCACAGGCCAGGGCGAGGATAGGCCCGGGGGGCGCAGAGCGCTGTGCTGAGTTAGAAAGTTCGGCCTCCACATATCATTGTTTTCATCCTCAAAATAGGGCCGTTGGAACTGGGACAAGAGGTGCTGTGAAAGCACTTTGTGAACTGTAAAGCGCCATGCTTCTGTGAAATAATAATAGTGTCTTTAAGTGGCGCTGGTACTTTTTCAGACTTAACGGACGTCTCTTGAGGACAACCGGGCCCTCCCAGAACATGGTAGATGCGGCGCGGCGGGAAGGGGGTGGGGCGGCGCCAAGGGCCGCCTGTAACCTGCTCCTGTGCTGCCACCTGGTGGCGAATGTGTGCAATGGCCACCGGCGCCCTCAACCCCTCTGCCCAGGCGGGAAGTCCTGGGGCGTGTGAAGGTGGAGCTGGGAGCGGTCCTGGCGCTAACACCGGTGGGCTCCCGGGCAAGGGTGCAAGTGGAACCCCCCAGGCCCCTCTTGCTCTCCTCGGCCTTGGCCTGCGCTCTCACTGCGAAGGTCCTCACGTGTGTGCAAGAGGCACATCCCCACAGACGCTCCCCCATGAACACCCCACAGGCCCAGAAAGTGGCTGGTGCAGGGACTCTGGGGGCCCAGGCACCCGGACCATGGTCTACAGGGGACTGTGGGCTCCCGTGGATACATCCCCGTGGCCTCGTGGAATCTAGGCCTCTGCGGGGTGTGGTCCCAGCTTCGGCTAACCCACTCGCCTGGTTCGCCTAGTACTATCCTGGTTTTAGCACTGAAAATCCCCCAGCAGCAGCCTGGAAGGTTGATCCTCTATCGTGGCCGGAGGGGCCAAAGCCCCTGCATCAATGCCCAGGCTTGGCCAGCCAGAGTCCAGCAGCTCGGACTCGGAGGACCAAAGTGGCCTCTGATGTGGCACTGAGCCTCCCCTCAGCCAATGGGGATTCTCACGCCATCCTGCTCTCTGGCCCCAAGGCCCCTGCCCCAAGCACTTGGCCCAAAATATGTTCATGGGAAGAGACCCTTCCTCTCCTCCCTGTTCTCCCAACCGCTGTCTGGGTGCTCTGTCTGTGCGGTTGGGTAGAGGGAAGAGAACGGGTGCAGGGACTTCTGGAATAACCTCTTCATTGAACAAGGGAAACAGAGGCCTGGAGGAGGAGAACCTTACCCCAAGGACCAAGGGAGACCCTAGCTCCTGGATGTTTGGGGCAACCCATACCCACCGCCTTGCTCTTGGTTTTATTTTTTTTTTTTTTTTGAGACAGAGTCTCACTCTGTTGCCCCGGCTAGAGTGTAGTGGCTGGCGTCAGCCTAGCTCACAGCAACCTCAACCTCCTGGGCTCAAGCAATCCTCCTGCCTCAGCCTCCCAAGTAGCTGGGACTACAGGCATGCGCCACCACCATGCCCAACTAATTTTATATATATATATATTTTTAGTTGTCCAGCTAATTTCTTTCTATTTTTTTTAGTAGAGACGGGGTCTCGCTCTTGCTCAGGCTGGTCCCGAACTCCCGAGCTCAAATGATCCGATCCGCCCGCCTCGGCCTCCCAGAGTGCTAGGATTACAGGTATGAGCCACGGTGCCTGGCCTGCCTTGCTCTTGTTGAGGGTAATTCCATGTGGCCAGGAGGAAGCCGACTGGATCCCTGGCTCTGAGGGTGGGGCACAAGGGCCAGATATAATCCCACAGTGATTGGCTCAGCCTTTAGCATGTGACCTAGGTTGGCCCAATCAGAATGAAGACTAGGACTTTTATTTTGCAAGGGAGCAGTGGTAGAACAGGAAACAAACAAAAACCTCCCCGTACAGGGACTTGACCAAGACAAGTAGACGTGGAGTGCACAGAAGTTTGTAGCTATTTATTGCACTGAAAACACCAAGAATAAAACAGACACCCCTTCTTCCCTTCCCGCCCCCCTCCCCCAGTAGCAGAAAGTTTGAGCAGTGGTCATTCAAGTTCACAGCCACGTATTTTAAAAAAAGAAAAGAAAAGAAAAAGAACTGAAACAAAACCCCAAACAAATAGTAACAAAGAAACCAGCATGGGGAGTCTGGCAACACATCCCCCCAAAGGGTCTCCCTTTGAAGGGAGACAGGAGGCCACGGGTCAGGATTTGCACTATGGTGGGCACAAACCCAGGAGATTACTTTCCTGTAAACAGATTTGCACGCTGGAGCCTAGGTTTTGACTTGGGTTTGGATTTTTTTTGCATCTACAGGATGTTTGGAGGAGCACGGAGTTTGTCTGCTGAGGATGGGCTCTGGGCAGCTTTTTCTGCCAGTGTCCCCTGCCTGCTGCCTCAGGATCAGTCTGGTGCCCTGTGATCTGCACCAGGTCGCTGCCCACCCACAGGCGTGGCCTTCCCGGTGGGGCCATGTCAACCTGGGGTAGGGACGTGCCTCCACTTCTCCAGCACTTGGAGAGGGGCACGGTGGACAGGAGGTGTGTCAGCCAATGAAAGGCAGGACCTTGGGGTCCTCCAGCTCAGTTTCCTCTGGTGGGGAAACCAAGGCCCAGAGAGGAGAGAGGACTTGCGCAAGGTCACACAGCAGGTGTGGTCAGAGCTGGGAATTGAAGCCTGCTAACCCCCAAACTACTGCTCTCTCTCCCCTGCAGTCCACTGCTGATAAGCAGTTGACAGGCACCAAAGAGGGGGATGAAGGGCAGGTGGGGGAGGGGAGGGGGACTGGCCAGGTCCAGAAGTAAACAGGAGGAGTCCCGCCAGGGGCTAAGCCCGCTAGTTCTCACAGGTACATTGGGCTTTGCGTCACCCTACATCTGATCCTCCATCGGCCGGATAACAACACTTAACCCTTTTAACCGATGGGGAGACTGAGGCGAAAGAAGGGCTCAGACATTGCCTCTGTGATTGTAGCATCCCCTGGCAAAGGCACCTTCACCTTTGGCCGGGGATGGCTGTAGGGAACAGGCAGCTCACGAGGGGGACAGGTGGTTTTGCTGCTGGGACAATGGGATCACTGGGCCTTCCTGGGAAGCCCTCTGGGCAAGGTCTCTGCCGAGAACAGAGGCCAGTGATGGACCAGCTTGGAAACCAGGAGGCGGGGGCGGCCTCTTTCCTGGCCTGTAGCCCCCACCCAGCCTGTCTCACCGGTGTCCGGGCAGCGGGACTTGAGAAAAGAGCCCAGCAGACAGCTCATGGTCGGGGAAAACTCAGAAAGTCCTGGATCAAACATCCTCACATCCTCACCAGTTCTGCTCCAACCAAGAACACCCAGGAGGGTTGGGGGTACCAGAGCCTCCTCCAAATCCCTGGGGATGTGGCTCTTCCTCCCCTAAAATCCTCCAGAGGAGACAGTATCTCATGCTGGCAAAACACGGCCACACAGAGGCCAAAAGCACAGAGAGGCAGCAACATAATTCCGAGTTGGACACTGAGAATACAACCTCTATTTTTTTTTTTTTGTTCAAAACATGTAGATTGGTTTTGTTGAGTGTTTTTCTTCTTTTTGTTTTTTTTCAACATACTTACTGCATATAAAGTCATGCAAAGAAAACAGTGCAGACAGTAGATCCTAGTGGGTGTGCCACGGTATTCCACATCAGAGTCAATCCCGGGGGAAGAGGGCAAGAGGAAAAGAAAGAGTGCAAACCCGAGGCCGCAGGATGAGGCGTGGCGAGTAGAAATCCCCAGTGTTCTGCCATCCGACGCCGTGGGGAGAGAGGTGATGAAGACACATGCTCATGGGCCCCCCAGAGGTGGGCGGGGGGCGCTGGGGCAGCACACAGAGATGGTGACATGAGATCCCAGGAAGTGCAGTAGGGAGGACCCCAGTGTGAAAGGGAAGCAAAGAAAAGTCCAGATATTTCCATCCTGACAAGCTCCCTCCCCCTCTCTGCCCTGCCTTGCTGTTTCCTAGTGGGTGCTGCCATCTGATGCTTCCACAGTCCCGGAAGGAACGCCTGCATCAGCTTACCTTGGGACCAAAATGGCAGAGAGGCCCTTCTCCCTGGGGCTGAAGTCCACCTCGGCCCCAGATAGCCACAGGTGACAGGGTCCACCTCAGAGATGACCAAACAAAAAAAAAAAAATCTAGAACAGAAAAAAACTACCCCTCACCCCTCTTCCTACCCGCCTTCCGAACCCAACCATTCTCACAATAATTTGAGAGGTCTAGTTATTACATAAATATCCGTTAACGCGAAATTCATTTACGAAATACACAGAAGTTTGGCTATAAAAAGGCATGCGGTCCAAGTAGAAGTGATACCTAAACGTTGCTTTCTTTTGCCCCCCCAAGACAATTAGATTTCCTCTCTGAGATAAGACGCAGCTGGAATTCTCCAGGGATGATGGAAGGGCAGGGTGGGTGGGCTAATGCTGGAGGTGAACTTCACCCGAAGGAAGCAGGAAGCAGTGGGGGCCCCTGAGAGGGTGGCGCCCCCCCACGCCAAGGGAAGGCTCCACGCAGACCACTGTGAGGCCAGGACAGGAGGGGAGAAGAGCTGGGGAAGCAGTTTGAGGCGGGAGGCTCCTGGCTTCTGCTCCTCTCTCACCCTCTCCCTCGGGGGGCTGGGGATTCATCTACCCTTCCTTGGGGACCCCCAGAAGAGGAGAGATCCGTGAGAGGGACAGGCGGACACCCTGTTCCTCGCCCCCTCGCCCCTCCTTCTCCCCAGCCGGGGCAGGCATGCCAGCCTGCAGCGCGGGAGGAGGGCCAGCACCCAGGTCTGAGGAAGCCCCGCCCTGGCAGGGGAGAGAGAGCGAGAGTGGGAGGTAGGGGGTGGGAGATCTGGCCATTTGCTTTGAAGTTGTGATGGCTTTTCTGAACAAGCAGGTTTTCCTGATGCAGGTACACAGCTGACAGTGGTGGGGTACGCGATGGGGGGAATTCCAGCCAAATCCAAGTGGGAGAACCAGCAGCCACATTCCACGGACAAAGAGTGGATCTCCGCGGCACAGCAACGCAGTGACCCCGGCCTGGTGCTTCAACTGAAAGACACGAGTGTGGGTGCTTCTGAGGGCACATGATTTAGGTCGGGCAGCCAAGCCACCCACCGCCCAAGACGGTGCAAGCTGCCTCCCAGGGCTCCTGCCCACTCCCCGCCAGACCCGCGGGCCCGCTCGTTCCTGGGGTCTCCACCCCCCGCAACTCTGCAGCCTTTCAGAAGCTGAAGGCAGCAGCCTGCTTCCCCTACATGACCCCCCCACCCAGGTTGGCACCCCCCATTCCTCTAGATCCCTCTGGGGGGTGGGAAGGAGGGACTCTTACTGGGGCAGGACGGAGGGCGCCCCGGATCTGTGGAAGTGGACGATCTGCCATTTGCCATCCCGGCGGTGCCACACGCGGGTCTCCTCGGACTGGGCGGTGCGGGGGATGCCGCTGGCGTCCAGGTACTGCGTGATGCGGATGTAGGCGATGCAGGCCGACTCGTCGCCCATCAGGTGGATGTGGGGATTCAGGATGGTGGTGTGCACCGGCTTGCTGTTCCGGGACCACACTGGAGGCGGGGACGGGAGGGGCAGAGGAGATACAACAGGGGCCTCCTGCCTCACTTTCTTCACTTTCTCAACTCCCAGCAACCCTCGCAACAGAGGCTTCTCTGCCTGCCTCCCTTGCAGGAAGGAGGCTCTGGGACAGGGCTCAGCGACCTGGGAGTCAAGGCAGAACTTCTAGGTAACAGGGACATCACGTCCCGGCTTAGATACCGTGGATTGCAGACAGGCCACATTCTTCGAACAAAGGAAATGGTATTTTAGAATCACAGCCTCTCAGCCACACAGAAGTCTAGGGCCAGGAAGATTACAGATGAGCCTAGACCAGTCTCGAACCCAGATCCCTCCAGGCGCCAGGCAGGCGCATAAACGAGGGGCTGAGCTGAGTATAAGATGCTGAATGACAACTGACCCTTTGCCTCGGGTCAAGGGGCGTGAGGGAGAGATGAGGACGGTGGTGTATAAACACCGTGTGCCATCTAAAGAGGGCGCCCTGTACACAGCTTGCCTGGTGGCTACAAGGTGAGTAAGTGGGACCCGTGCCGATTTCAAGAGAATCTGGAAATCTGGATTTTTACATGGAAACTCTTCATTTTTAATTACCGGCATTTAATTCAAATTTAAAACATCATGCAGGCCCCATGAAACATATCTGCAGTCCAGATATGGCCCATGGGCCGTCCGTCTGCCACCGCCACTGTAGATACATAGATCGTGGAAACCTGGGGGGACATTAGAATCGCAGAATCTGAGAACCTTGCGATTATAAGGATGGTATTGGTGGTCATGGAGCTTTCCAGAATCACGGGAGGAATGCATAACCCTTGTAATCACGATAGAGCTGACACAGCACCTGACGCAAGCTCCCACTATATGAAATATGAGACCCACCATTATTATTATTGTTATTATAGAAACTCAGATTTTTTCATCAATGCAGAAAACAAAAGCGTAGAGAGACGATGACCCACGGAGGGGTTGGAGAGCGGTGGTCAGGATCTTGGGTTTGAGAGGAGCCCTTCCCTTAGCGCAGCCTGCGTGGAGGTCTGAATCAGTGGACAGCTGGCTTAAAACACAAGTTCCCCACCCCTGCCTTTACAGGGCCCTATTCAAGAATCTGTGATATTAAAAAGTTCCCTTCCCCGTCCCCACCCCCTGATTCTGATGCCCAGCCATGTTTGTGAGCCTCGTATTTCCTGAAGAATGTAAAATGTCTTCTTCTCCCCCAAAATTGCAGAAAGCAGTCAATAGCACACACCCCCTAATACTATAATCACACTACGCCCAGGCTTTGGGTAAAGGACGTAAAATCACCAAGTGTTAGACGTGAAGAATAACAGACTTAGAACTCTGGGCTGTCAGAGATACAGAATATAGAGTTTTAGCACCACAGACTTGGGAGTGACCTCAGAGGTCAGAGGTCACCCGGTGGCCCAACTACAGAATTTAAGGCAGCCTCTATAAGTGTCCCTGGCGGCATTTAGGGCTGGAGGCACACGGGACCATCTATTTCAGTGTGTCCACGTAGCCGATATGGAAACTGAGGTCCAGAGAAACAGTCTGACTTGTCCCAACCTGGGCCAGTTCCTGAGAAAGATGCAGTGGAGTCTACAAAAAGTCAGTCTCCAGGTGGGGCTGAGTTAGGACAATCTAGAACAATCCCAGGAGTGACAAATGGAGCTTAGCATGGTTGAGGGGACTGGGCCATACTGTTATCAGTAAGAACTGGGTCCTGAGGAGCATTTGTAAAGAAATGCCCCCTAACGTGGTGTCTTTTGAAATTATAAGAGGCTTCTAATATCTGCTTTTGTGGACAGGTGGGAGACAGGGCCAGGTCCTCAGCAGGAAAAGCCAGGCATCTGGAGGGTGGGGCTTGGCCAGACCCACGCAGCTGCTCTGGGTCTTGCTTTTGTGGGGTCTGCCTTTGAAGCAACCGGATGTTTAAACCTAGAATCTGGGGGTGGTGCTAAGACGGGCCCACTGATCCCAGGCAAGCGCAGGCTACTTGGTCTTCTCCTGCGTTTATCCCCTTTGCCTCCCCGAGCCTTGAGAGCTGGGCCTTAGCCTGCTCTCCGCTCTGTTTTGTGGGACTGTCAAGTTCACTCTGGGAACCAGCGCCCCCAGAGGACAGAACGCAGAATGGCGGCCACAGTGATCAGAGAGGGAGCTCCAGGGTGATAGAGACCTCTCTTCGCATGAGAATTCAATCTTCATTGCTAGCCTTGCAGAATTAGAGTTTGGTTTATTAAAGGAAGACGTAGCTTTCTTCTTCACAGCTTTTTTGGGGGTGACCTTGAGCCTCTAAACTCTAAAAAATTCAGCCAGAGAGGGTGCAGGCCAGGAGGGCAGTGTCAGTCCCAGCTCGGGTTTGCTAACGTGCATGGGGACAGAGCAGGTGGCACAGGGAAGGAAAGGGGCACCACGGGAGTCGGGTCCAGGTTCTGCCACCAGCTTTCTGGATTCCTTGGACAAGTCACTTTCCCCCTCTGGGCCTCAGTTTCCTCTTCTGTATGATGAATATTGGGATTAGATCTGACTTCTGCGTTATTTTTGAAGTACCACCTTTGCTATTTTTACCATATATATACAAGTGCCACCTGTATTGACTTCATTAAAATATTTTCCCTGATTAAAATATTTCCCTGAATCAATTCACTTTACTGATTTATATAAATTTATTTTTAAAAAAATTTCTAGCATGATTATTAATGAACAATCAATATCACAGAATAAAATTTTAATAATAAGGCCAGTGAAAAGAAAAGAAAGTCATATAATCCTTGCTCCATACTCTTGCCTACTAGACAAGCCTGAGATTTGCTCACTCTTTGATGACGAAGGAAGTTAGGAAGTGGCAAAGTGTTAAAGACAGGCTACCGCCCAGCTGAGCCTTTCCCCTTGGTGGAGCCAGAGGACTGAAAGAGATTTAAAAGGGAGCAGCTTTCTCACTGTGTAAAACAATGCTGTTTCAAGCGGTGCCTAGATATACCTGGAATCACCCTGTGTAGCCTCAGTGGTTCATGCCCTTCACTTTGGGGAACCCTGGATCTACCACCTCTCAGGTCCTTCCTCCCTGTCCTAAGCTGTGTGATCCTAACCTGTATGCCCTTTGTTTCATCCCTGTCTGATCCCTGGCCGGGGGAGACACAGATACAGGCAAAAAGCATCCTAGGTCAGGCCCAGCCTCAACCCCCTGACAGCCCCTGGTTGCAAAGCTGCCAAGGTCTCTCCTGCAAAGGAGAGGCCCAGGAAGGACAGACATGCAGGACAGAAACCTAGACAAACAGGCAGGGCACAGCAGTGTGAGCTCACTGTCCTCTCCTCTTTCCCAAACTGCCCACCCACAACCCGCCGAGCCAGATTGTGACCAGCTGGGCAGCTGGGATAGCCTTGGGCATCAAGATGACCATAACTTGGGTGCATGAGCCAATGGGAAGCCTCCCTGGAGAGGCCTGGGAGGGCTTGTCCTGTGTTTCCCTGGTCTCTGGGACCCCCCTCGCCCCATCCTCAACCACAGGGGAGACAGCTGGCAGTTGATGGGCCAGGGTTAGGAGAGGGAACCAAGAGGGTACCAACCCCTGTCCACACGGGATCTTCCTCTTCGCTGGCTCCTGAGCTGCCCCTGGGGCCCTGCCCGTCACCCTGCTGTGCCGTCCGGCAGGACACGGAACGAGAGCAGACAACAGGCACCCCAGAGAGAAGGGATTGCTCACGGTTTTCAAAATAGAATCGATGGAAGTCCAGACCCTCGACCAGGTTCCCCAGGGCCTCGGGTTCAAAGGCCGTCATGCCGGGGTCGCACATCTTCCTGGGGGAAAGAAGCCAGAGGAAAGAGGGGCTGGGGCAGCTTCTTGCTGGCCTCTCGGAGGGGGAGCCTGAGAAAGGGGAACGACCGCACCCCCCTCACGGGATCCTTGGGGTTAGTGGACGGGAAGGGGTGGCAAGCTGTAAAGTGCAGGTCGCTGACCGCTCGCTGCCACGTACAGCCAGGAAGCCTGGGTGCAGGTCCTGGCTCTGCCACTTAATGCTTATGACACTTCAAGCAAGTGGCTTAACGCCTTGAAGCAAGATCATTATGGGTGGTCGTGCAGGGTTGTGTGGCGCACCAAAGCTACTCTCCAAATTTCACCCCCTGGCCCAGGGCAGTGGATGCAGAGGGGGCTTTTTCTAATTTGTCTTCGGTGGGGGGAAAGAGGAGTGGGCTTTTTCCTTCACGTAATAGTGACCTCTGCTCACCAAGCCAGGTGTGTACCTGGCTGTTACGTTTTGCTAGTTTGAGCAAAGTTGCCCTGTTGTTAGCAGCAGCCCTGACTGTGAGCCTCAGTTTCCTCTTCTGCAAGATGAGGAAAGTAGCCTTAGGCGAGGTAATATCTGGGAGGGAGGAGCACAGGATGTGACGGAGGAGGATTCACAAACAGAGACTGTGTATTTTCAGCTCGTTGTTCCCTTCCAAATCTCAGTCTTCCAGGGGACCCTGACGGCCAGGTGGGGGGCAGGAACAAACTCTTTCTCATCTCCAAGTCTCTGGGATCTTTTGTGGCACAATACGGACCTCTGTGACAATAGCAATGAAGCCAAGGACAGAAAATGCCCTGGGACAACCAGAGCTCCCAACCCAGGGTGGAATTGGAGATACCCGGAAGAGGGTGTCAGACCCAGCATTGTCTGAGCTGGACGAAGCCCTTGCAGGGCGTGCTGTCCCTGCTCTGTCCAGTCTGTTTGGGTGACCCCAGACAACTCGGTTCTCCACTCAGGACCTCAAATTCTCCAGCTGGATTAAGCCAGGGCATGGGGGATGATGCTCAGGGCCCTTCCAGCTCCAGGATCCTGCAAGGGTGGGGGTCTGAGCACTGAGTGTGCGGGAGACCGAGTACCCCCACTTCAGAAGCCTCACTCCTGGAGGTACCTGGTGTTCCTGCCTCCTAGAACGAAAGGACTCGGAGGCCATGCCTTCCAACTCCATTGTACATGTGGGGAAACCGGGCTCAATGAGATAAATGGATTTATTCAAGGTTACACAGGGCCAGAAGGTCATGGCAAGGGATCAGAACCTAGAATAGGCTGCAGATGTCAGAGGGAAGTGATATCACAGAGGTGGAACGGGTTCCCCAGGACCCCCAGAAATGGCACTGAGGAGCTCAGGGGCCACAGGGGCCACCTCTCTTTCCCTTGCTCCCTGGCTGTGCCCTTCCAGAGCCACTGGCATGATGCACCCCAACTTAACTTTTTCTAGCAGTGGCTGCAAGTCCAGCTTAACGGCCTGTTTCTGTGCTTTTTTGCAACATCCGGGTACACACATATACACACACCTGTGCACACTCCTTGTGCGCATAATCACGAACGTGCACCCACGTGTACAAGTGCATGCACACATCTATGTACACGACAGCCTCAGTTTCATACATGCTCCTTCCAAGCTCCTTGTTCCTCCAAAGGGGGGTGGTGAATTTCTAGAGGCTTTGCTACCCACTGCTGCTGAAAACCCTCCCACGCTTAGAAGGCACCTGGCCTGCCAAGCCTTGGAGAGGCAAACTTCAGCTCCTGGGCATGGTGGAAACCAGGAACAGGCTGCCCAAAGAGCAAACTCCAGCCAGGTTATCCCCAACTCACCTTAACCCAACAGGCAAGGGTCACTCTGCCTTAGTTGGTGATGTCTGTCCACCAAAAAGCAAATGTGGGGTCTCCACACCCAGGTGTTGTCAGCAGTGGCCAAACGTTAAGGCCTAAGCCCCAAGCCAAAAATATTTGCTCTCCTTGGGGCCAGCGTAGGGCCTCTGAGGCCTGCTCTGGGCCAGACCAGGAAAGGTGTGAGTGACTAGCACGCGGTGTTCTGACTCAGCCCTTGCACACAGCCGTCCCTCCAAAGGTGGGACCAGTTGTGCATGTTTTGTGTGGGCTGCCTTATTCCCCAGAGGATTTGAGATTCTGCTTTGAGGACTTCTGCTCACCCCTGCTCACAGCAGGTACACACCTCATGGCTCCTTCTCTGCTCCTACCCATCTGAGGTCAGAGGCCTGACGAGGTCCAGGGTTTGGCCTCAGGCTCACTGTGCAGGACTGAAGGGGGCCTGCTCCCCTTCCCACCCTCCCAGCTCCTGGGCCTCCTGAGGGGCCCATGCTATGATGGTGACCACCCTCTCCCTCCTGGGGGAAGCAAACGAATTTTGTTGGAGTTTCTCCTGGGGAACAAGGTGTGAGGAGGAGGGAGGACAGGAGGAGGGGGGACTGAGATATAGAGAAGTGTTGGGAACAGAAAGCTCAATATAAGCATCGAGTCCAAATGCAAAACAGAAATACGAGTTCGGTCTGATTCACAGCACGTGCAAAGTGAGCGGATGAGGGTCAGAGACGAGGACCCCCAAAGTGAGCCACCAGCACCCCCTGAACAACGAGCCAGGCAAGACATGCAGAAGAAGCCCAGCCGACTCACGTGTAGGACTCAAAATCTCCATTGCTTATGGCTTCGATCAGCTGCTCTGTCACTTTTATAATTTCCTGTTTCCGCACTGTAAGGCAGAGGGGACACAGAAATAGAAATAATAATAACGATAATAATGATAAAATAATAGCGATAGTAATGAAGGACCAACTACCATTGCCTGAGTCCTTGTCACGTGCCAGACCCCGTGCTAGGATCTGAGGACCTCATGCAGGTTGTCTCATTCGTCCTTACGTTGCCCCTGGGAGACAGGTGCCGTTAGCCTCCTTTCACAGGAGAGGAAACTGAGGCCAGAAAGGTGCAAAAGTTGTGCGATTTCCCCCCACTGCACAGGGCAGGGCCAGTGTCTCAGTTGGCAGCCTTTGCCTCCAATGAGCATACGTGGTGGGCTTTCTGGCTGGAGGCCTGATTTGAACCCAGGTCTTGACTCCAAAATATGCAACCCCACCACCTTGCTTTGCCAAGTGAACCAAAACAGGATCAACTGTGGCACTGTCACTAATAGCCAGGAACCAGGGGCTCCCCCATGGCCAAAACTGGGGCTCACCCTTCAGTGTGGGTGAGCTTTTTGCTATAGAGGAATCAGGCAGAGAGCTGTCTAGAACTTTCTAGGCAAAACGAACCCCAGCTGCTGAGACCTGGCCCTCCCCTGTCTGCCACTGAAACAGCACAAGCAGCTGGTCTTTCTGGTAGAGAGGTAGACATGTGTAAAAGGGGGACATCGCCACCCCTCATTCATGCAGAGCCGAACACGCGGTATCCAGGCTTTGCTCTCAGACAAACGTTCGTCTAAATTCCAGCCCAGGTCCTTACAAGCTGTGCGACTGTGGGCCACAGGGTTGTCTGCTGGTCTGTCAAGGGGAGATGACAGTATCCTCCTCCCAGGGTCGTATGAGGATGGGGTGGTGCGAAGGACACGAAGCACTGGCCCAAAGCCTGGCACGTAGTAGGTGTGCATCATAGGAGCCGCCATTTTCTGCAACAGCCCCCCTCCCCCGACTGGGATTGCCTCATCGGCCCTGGGAGGTAGGCAAGGCCAGCTTCTCCCCGTCTCCCGCGTGGGTGTCTGAGCCTCAGTGGGCGAGGAATGCGAAGCCAGGTGTCCTGGTCCCCAGCAGGCCCTGACAGAAGGCTCCCTCGCTTCCTCAGGAATAGGCCCCCTTTCCCTCCTTCCCCGGGCCGCAGCCTGGCTTCAACCCGGCCAGCTCGCTGGCCTGCTGGAGCAGTCTCAGGTGAGGCAGGTGGACACGCTGCCCGGAGAGCGAGCTCAGCCCTCAGCATCCTCAGTCTGGACTGGGAGGGAGACCAAGCCCAGGGGAGGCTCTTACGCCCCTTCCTCATCCGCTGCCCACGCCGCCCCGGCCACACCGGGAGTTCTCAGGCCCGAAGGACACAGATCACAGAACATCCACGCTGGAAGCACCCTTGGAGGCCATGAACTCAGATTCCCTGTTAAACTACTGGGGAAACCGAGGCCCAATGAGGGGTTGCGATTTGCCCAAGGACACGGAACATGGCAGGTGCAAAAGGTGGCCCCCAGCCCAGGCCCTTTTCCATGGACCCTGGTGGCCCAGCCCGCTCCCTGTCTAAGCACTAGCCCCGCACGGTGGGTTGGCCCGTATGCAGGTCTGTCCCCAACTCAAAGGCGAGTTCACTGAGGCCAGGCCGTGGCTTCTCTTGCCTGCTGCATCCCGGAGCCCGGAACAGGCCGGGCCCTCACTACTGAATGAATGAATGGGCGCGTGTAGCCGGCCTCGTGCTGTGCGCTTAGCCTACGCAGTCCCAAAGTGGGGTTGGAACCGGGGGTGTTGACCCACATACTCCGTGAACTGTGGGCCCTGTGCCACCTGCCTTGCCCTGACCCTTCCAGCTTGCCGTTCCACGAGGCTGTGCCTAACGTCCTATCTCCCGTGGGCTGCTTCTCACTACCATCCCGGACAGTGTAGCAAAGTGAGTGAGGGCACGCACGTGGGAGCCGGGATTCTGGCTGTGCCGCTTAATAACTGTGTGACCCTGGACAAGGGCCTTCCCTGTGCCTCAGTTTCCCCATATGGATAATAGAGTTACTAATAGTACTTACCTTGCAGAGTTGTTCTGAGGACTGAGTTAAAAATATATTACTAGAAATAGCTAACACATACATGTCCTCACTGACAGCCAGCCGCCATTCCAAGCCCTTTACATCAACTCGCTTCTATGACGCATGCTGCAGCCAGAGCAGTGCCTGGTGCTTTGTAAGCGAGAGCTCTGATTGTTATCGTCTGGGAATCTCTGAATCAGCAGTTCCTCCTGGGGACAGCCTTGGGTCCCTCGCCAGGGCAGGGCTGCCTCCCAGCAGCCTGATAAGTGGTGGTTTGGTCTTGGTCAGAACCTCGGGGCTTGCGGCCTGCCGGGCAGACCACTGCACTACCGGACAGCTCTCGCTATGTGTACCACTGCCTTCCTTCAAGTTGAAATCTATCCCCCTGAGAACCCCCAGTTACAGTTCTGGTCTTCTTTCTGCCTTCTGGGGCCCAGAAGTGAGCACCTGCTTCCCCAGCCTCTATGTCCTCCCCAAAATCAGTCTTCTCAGGGCTGAGGGCCTCCATGGTATGGTTTCCTGGCCCTGACTCAAGCTGGCCATCTACTCCTCGAGGGTCGCTGAGCTGTCTGGATACCTCTCTGGGTATGAGCACACAATCTCGGGTTTGGTCTGAATAATGAGAATAATGCAGATCTGGGGTAGCACTATCTCCTCCCCAATTCTGGATATTATACCTCTATTAACGCAGCCTGAGAAAATGCCTACCTTGGCTGTGTCTTCAGCTACTCAGGGCACCAAGTTTGCCAATAGTCGAAGCCTAGTGGGCAGGAATCTCCCTAGCTTTGTTCTCTGGGACAGAAGATCTGGGGGCCCAGAGCTTCTTAGATCTGGAAAAGTCCACTCTGGTTCTGGGTCCTTTCTGTGCCCTCAGCAGCCCCGTTGCTGTTTAAGGGGTTCATGCAGCAGCTGCTCAGTAGCAACATCTGGCTTTTCTCATCTGCCAGGTGTTCACCCAGACAATCTGAGAGTGCGCCCTACAGGTGGGAAAGCCGAGACCCCAGAGAGGTTAAGGCACTTTCTTAAGATCACACAGCATGTTGAGCCCGAATTGGGAGCAGCATATCTGACTGATATTTCCCAGAACGTCTCTGCCCAGATTCTGAGGCAGCTCCCCAGTAAGAGAGAAAATGAATTTTTCATGGCACTAACCAGGAGGAGGTCGGGGAGTGGGGAGGACAGCTGGCAGAGCCCTAGCGGCTCAGAGAGTGACAGGCCTCTGCACTAAGCCAGAGGTGCTCTGAAATATTGATGTCTCTTTCTCTCCTCAGGGGAAAACGTTCCCTGGAGGATGACATTTCTAATTAACTTTAATGTCAGGTCAAGGTCCACCCCACCAGCTGCTATTCTCACTTAGTAAGAAGACTTAACAAATTAACACTAGAAAATTGTTCTCTGGGAACTTTCTCTGAGGCCTCAGAGGCTGGGGGAGGCACAGGGGCTCCTGTCTTCTGCCAAACACGAGGAGAAGCTCCTGGCTGAGCCAGCATCTGCTCTATCAGACACGGCCCCGGGGCTTTTGGACATGTGGGGAAACTGAGGCAGAGAATGGGATCCCAGTTCTGCCGTTAATAATCCATCTTCTCTTTCTCCTAGCTGGGCCTCAGCTTCCTCTCTGTAAAAGGGGCACAGGTACGCCAAAATTCAAGACTGCAAATTCCCCATCCTGATCCCTCTAAAGCTGAGGACAACGATTGCAAATGTGAGACCTTAGGAATGCAGCCCAAAGCCACCACCCCAGGAGCAAGATGTCTTTGCCAGCCCCTAATCTACATGAATAGTACATACAAATTTTATACTCTTTCCCAAATATTTCTGTCTGTTTAACACATAAATTTGTCTTAAAATAAAGTAAAATTGATGCTCTGAGAAAATGTCACGTGGCTTCCTGTCATTCAACAAACTCCAGTTTGAAAAAAAGAAATTAAGGTTTATTAAACACTGGCCACGTGCAAACACTGCATGTGTTTTCTATCATCCTCTCATTTCATCTGCACAGCAATCCTCTGAGGTTGGTGCTGTCATCAACACTTCTTTACTTTTTTTTTTGAGACAGAGTCTCGCTCTGTCACCACAGAGTGCTGTGGTGTCATCCTAGCTCACAGCAACCTCAAACTCCTGGGCTCAAGCGATCCTCCTGCCTCAGCCTCCCGAGTAGCTGGGACTACAGGAATGCGCCACCACACTTGGATCATTTTTTCCATTTTTTGGTAGAGACGGGGTCTCGCTCTTGCTCAGGCTGGTTTCAAGCTCCTGAGCTCAAGCAATCCTCCCGCCTCGGCCTCCCAGAGTGCTAGGATTATAGGCAGAAGCCACCACACCCAGCCCCATTTCTTTACTATTAAGGAAACTGAGGCTCAGAGAGGTTGAGCAAGTTGTCCAAGGTCATCCAGCAAATGGGCTCCAGTGGAGAAGTGCAGAGCCAGGTCCCTGTCTGCTCTGAGGTCACGTCCAGTCTCCTCAGAATCCCAGAGCCCAATTCGTACCACTGGGCAAGCGAGCCTTGCATGTGGGGTCTCAGAAGCACCATTTCTGAGCCCAAGACAGACCTATGGCATCAGAATCGGCAGAGGCAGGGCCAGGACTGTGGTTAGAAGATCAGGCTTGTGGGACTAGGAATGCTGACCTGCCCTGAACAGGGGATTCTTCTTCGAGATAATATATTCATATTTTAACATATTTATTTGTTTGTTGGTTTGTTTATTTTAGAGATGGGGTCTCACTATGTTGCCCAGGCTAGAATGCAGCGGCTATTCACCGTCACGATCTAATAGCACTCCTGGCCTAGGTAATCCTCCTGCCTCAGCCTCCCGAGTAGCTCAAGATAGCGTGTCTTTGAAGGTTGTTCCTGGTGCCATCACAGAAAGTGGATTTGCTCTAGTGCCAGGCTGTGGTGATAGAGTGCCCATCACCCCACAAGTTGGGAATGACCAGAAAGGGACACACACAGGGTGGAGCCCATCTTGCAGGCACCCTGCCAAGTCAGGAGGCAGTCATGGCGTGTGGTGTATCAAAACTGCCATAGAGCCTGAATCGCAACTGTACAAAAATATTTATTACATAATAAAATGCTGTTTTCCCCATTTTTATATTCTAAGGCAAAACACATAAACTCCTAAAAACATGTCTGAACTGCTGTGGCTGAGTTCCCTCCAGGTTGACGGCCTTTTCCTGTGTTACAGAGACTCCCGAGTGTGCAAACCCCTGGGCTCCCTGTGCTGGGGAACAAGGAGGGCTGGTTGCTAACGCATCGAGGATTTGGTGTCCCCTGAGCGGAAGTCAGTACTCCCTGTTCCTTCCCCGAAGCTCCAGGTGCGCTTGCCACACGCTAAGACCTCAGAGTGGTGGTCACCAGCCAGGCCCCTGGAGCCTGGGTTCAAACCCTCGCCCTCCCCTCCCGAGCTATGGGACCTTGAGCCAATGAACCCAACCTCTCCGACCTCTGTTTGCTCAGCTGTGGAATGGGGTTCATCACAGCACCCCGTTCCTGGGGCCGTTGTGCAGCTCCAGTACGTCAGTCCAGATCAGTCCTGGGACAGCACACAGCAAGCATCGCACCAGTGCAGCCGTGACGACTATTCCTGTGGTGCCCTTTGTTACAGTCCAATCACAGCCACAGGGCTTTGTCCCCTCCTGCCAGCTTCCGAGGCCGTGCCAGACGCCAGCCCCAGCAGCCACTGCACGTCTAGTGCGTTGCGGGCAGCGTTCCCCACGCTCCAGCCAACGGAACTTCCTGAGTTTCCCTGTCCCTTCCTTTACTATTGTCACTTCATGATTTTGAAATCTATTCACTTTTTTAAACAACTCAAAAACACTCATTTCAAAAGGAAAATTGATATCACTGCTATACATTTACGACTTGAACATGTTAAACGTTTCTGTAATACACAGTAAAGTAAATCTGTAACCTCTGGAATAAGAGAATCTATGTGCCAGCAGTGGTTCCAGCAGCCCACGGGGCGAACGATGCCCACAGTGTGCCCAGTTGATGAGGAGCTGAAGCGAAGCTCTTTGTAGAAGAGCGGGCTACAAGATGGGCATGGAGGCCCTCTGGGCTGGGGACTGTCCGTGAAGGGGTCTGCCCAGCCGGTACCAGAAAGTTGGGGGCCCTAGACCCCAAAGGCGAGGCCCCTCCCTACCTTTGGTGTCTTCGTCCTCAATGGTGGTGTTGGTGCTCTCAGAAGATTCCTGCCAAAGAGAACACAGGGGATGGTGAGGCCTGCCTGGCAGCAGGACGAGGCACGGCCAGGCGTGGCTATCCCGGCTGCCCGATGGCATGGCCCGCTTTCTGCTGGCCTCCCAGGCTCCGCCATCCAGATGCTGCACTGCAAACCCCATCGGACTCTCCAGCCTAAGGACGGGGAGGGCCCAGCTAAGCAGGTGACCCGGGGGCCAGGACAGGGATGGCTGCAAGGAGAACCCTGGCATTTCTGGAAGGGCTGAGAGGGGGTTCCTGGGTCCTTTCTGCTCGAGGGGGCAAAGAGGGAGTGTGGAGGAGCAGAGAGAAACCATGGCGGCCGCAGAACATGGAAGGAAACCACACTGGCAGGAGAGGAAGAGAGAGAGAGGGAGGCCCAGTGTGAGAGAGGGTGGGCTTTTCAGAGGGGAGGAAAAACCACACAACTGAGTGAGACAGCAATGGAACCGGAAGAAGAGGGACATAGGTCACCGAGCCACCACTGGAGCCCCTAGACAGAGGCGGGGCTGCTGGCTCCTCTGCCACCAATGGGCCTGGGTAGCCTCACCCAAGCTCAGGAGGGGCCTCCATGACGCCTACTACTTTGGCAAACCAAGCCCCACCCTCGCCACGACGGGCACAAACCAAGCCTGAGATGAGTTCCAGAGCAGAGGGGCAGGGGGAAGCGAAAAGCCAAGGGCTGGACGTGGGATGGGGTTCAAATCCACCTTTGTACCCAAGGGAGGCCTTAGGTCTGCTGTCAGCCTGCTGGTCTGGGCTGTGGAGTTGGAGGTGTCAACAAAAACACGCAAACAACACACACACACAACACACAAATTGTCACACAAGGCACACGTACCAAGCACGCCCTGAGCACCCTCTCCCCGCCCCAGGTTCCCAGTGCAGCCTGCAGGAGGGAGGCAGGAGCAGGGGTTCGAGGCCCAGCATTTACCGGCGTAGAGGAGACGGCAGACACTCACCATTAACTGAACGCTGGAACTGGACTTTCTTTTCTGGAAAAACAAGGAGAAGAGATGGGACAGGAAAAGACACAGCGTGAAAACGGCAGGGAGCAGAGGAACGAGAGGGGATGTGTGGAAGGAGGATGGGCCTCAGGGTCATCCTCGGTGGTCCTTTGTCATCTTGGCCTCGGGACAAGGAGCCAGTGACCCCAGCGACAGCTGACCTGGCGAGGCCAGTCCTCTCAGCCTGAAAGTTTGGGTCCTCATGCACAGCTGCCGGGGTCTACCGATCTAACAACCAAGCTCAAGGTCAAGCTGGACCAGGGCTGCCCACTATGCCTCACTCTGATTGGGGAAGCCAATCCTGGCTCTTAGATGCCAGCTGCTTAAGGCCTCCAGAATCCAATGCTCTTAAAGGACAAAGGGTGCTCAGGTCTGGAGAGGAGGCCCCACGTCTCTTCCTAGCCTCCCTGTGCATCTCTAAGAGGACCCCACTCCCAGTAGACTGTCCTAGTCACTTGGGAAATTTGTCAAAAATATGCAGAACCAGCAGTGGCTCATGCCTGTAATCCTAGCACTCTGGGAGGCCGAGGCGGGAGGATCGCTAGAGCTCAGGAGTTCGAGACCAGCCTGAGCAAGAGCTAGACCTCGTCTCTACTAAAATTAGAAAAATTATCCGGGCATGGTGGCAAGTGCCTATAGTCCCAGCTACTTGGGAGGCTGAGGCAGGAGGAGCCCAGGAGTTTGAGGTTGTACTAAGCTACGATGGCGCCATTGCACTCCAGCCAGGGCAACAGAGCAAGACTCTGTCTCCAAAAAAAAAATAAAAAATGCAGAACCAGGTCCCCTCTGAGGAGTTGGATAACTAGATGTGGGGTGGGCCTGGGCATCTGGGCATCTCCATTTCCAACAACAGCCCCAGGCAACTCCCAAGCAGGGCCAAGTGTGGGAGCCAGTCCTCTAAGTGTCCTTTGAAACCCTGCTTGCACTCACAACTCCCATGACTGGCCTATTCAGCTGCTTTATGCTGACGGGGAAACTGAGGCATAGCCAGAAATGAAGCTGAGTCTGAACTTGAGTCTTTCGGCCCTGCCATTCAGCCTGTACTAGCATCTGGGGAATGTGTAGCATCCCCTGCGTTGGCCACGCAACCATGGGAAGGAGGGCAGGGACAAATGTAGATTTTCTTCTTCTTCCCTCAGTCTCTGAGCCGGGAGTCTTAAAGACTCACATTCACAGATCGCAAATTGAGACTGACACTTGCATCGCATAGATGGGAAACTGAGGCCCAGAGAGGGGCAGTGGCCTGTCCAAGGCCTCTCAGCAAGCCACCAGCAGAGCTGTGGCTAGAACCCAGGCCTGCATGCAGGGCTCCTTCCTCTTCCTCTCTCCAGGGCTCCAGGCACTCACGGCCTGACCCCTCTTCAAAGGCTCAGTATATCCTGGGCTCCCTAACATCTGAGAGACTAGAGGTCTCTCTCCCTGCTGCACCGTAGAGGGAGCAAAGGAGGGGCTGGCAATGCCCTCTGGGTAGGCCTTCACCATGGGGAGGCACTGGATATTTCTTGAGAGTCTCGGGTCTAATTTGGGGCTTTCTGACTCCCAAATCCAATGAACCTCTGCATACCAGGAACCTAAGACCCTGTGCCCTCCATCTAGGGCCTCCGCAGATGTGGCGGGGTAGCTCACTGCACATCCCAATGCCCATGTGCTCTCAGGAACACAGAGGCTCACACGCCGGCATCTTCCCCAGCTGGTCTGGATGGTGTGACTCCCCCAGCCAGCAGCCTGCAGCCAGCCTCTCCTCTCCTCCTCTCCTTCCCACCCCTGTCCTCCCTTCATTCTCCTCTCCTCTCTCTCCTCCTCTCCTCCCCTCCCCTCTCCTCCTAGCGTTGGCCTCACCCCCTGGCTGTAGCCAGACCAGGCACAGCAAGTGTGGGGAAGGGGACAGGCCCACAGAGCTCCGCTGTCAGCAGAAACCTGAGGAGCCGTGCAGGGGCCAGGAGGTTCCAGGCGGGACACGAGGAAGGAACACAGAGCAGAGACTGCATCAGATTCGGACGCACAGTGACAGGATGGGACATGGGGGAGAGAGGTCACGACGGCACGGATGGGACACCAACAGGGGCAGTGAGTGGGGCTGAGGGGTGGGAGCTGCCAGCTCCTCCTCACGGAGGTCAGGGCCTCGGGCTGGCCGGAAGGGGACAGTGCTCCTTGGTGGTAGAAAGGATCAATTTCCCTGATTCACAAAAGACGACAATACTAACAATCCCGCACTGACCTGCACATCAGAGTTTGATGTAAAAGGGACTTTCGCCAAAAGTAGAGTCGCCTCTCTGAGAACCATGTGCAGAAGCATGGTGTAAGGTTAGCAAGGATGATAGAAATTGAGTGGTCAAAATTGGCCTTGAAAAGCCCTTAAAAGCCCCCAAAGTACACCACATGTCATGTCTCTGTGACTACTCCAACCGGGCCAGCGTTTCCTGCAGCGCTGGAGACAGCCAGGCCTCTTCAGGTGAGCCCAGGTGAGCGCGGTTTGCCCCTAGGGACCGAGGTGTAGGAAGAACGTGTGTTTCCCGCTTTGGCTGAAGGTGTGTGAGTTAAAGGAGCATCAGGTGTGGCTGTTCTCACCGGCGCCCGCAAACAGCTGCTGTGCTCCCCTTGTACAGATGACAGACCAACGGCCTGGGTCCCCCAGGGAGGGAACTGCAGGGCTGACTCGAACCCATGGCTTCTTGACTTGGGGTCCAGTTTCACTCGCTCTGAAAACACGACTGGACCCCCGCCCCTGCTGCTCTCCCCACTCCTTCCGGGAGCAACATGCGGCAGGCTGGGCTCCCCGGATCCTGGGCCAGGATGGACTTCCTCCCTCCTCCATCCTAAGCGAGGGAAGGAGGCTGAGTATGGTCCAAATTGGCCTTTGAGTTTCTCTCATCCACACCCAGGCCACCCTGAGAAGTCCCCCAGGGTCTGTCCTGTACAGCAGGAGGCAGTGGCGCTGGGAGCAGCTGTGCCCGCTGGAAAGCCCGCTGTGGACAGCAGAGCCCCACCAAGCTACGAGCTGTCCTTACCTCTGATGGCTTCTGCCTCCTGGCCCTGCCCGACGGGAGCCCGACCTGAGTTTCTTCCCCAGACCCAGCCCGAGGGAGGCCCCTCCTGACCCGACACCCGGTGGCTCTGCATCAGCCTTTGCCAGGGCCACACCCAAGAGCCAAGCACCGGGGCAGCCTCTCTCTCTGTCCCCTCCTCTTCCACCAACCTGGGCCACAGCTCACCAGTGCCTGTAGCCTCTGCCCCCACATCCCCCAAATCAGGGCCATGGAACCACTCCCCACCAGCTCAGCATCTCCACTTGGGGGACAGAGAAGGCCCCAGCTGCTCCAAGCCGGGTAGCCCCCACATTGCACAAACCTCCATTACCCTTCACATTTTGGGGTAGATGCAGGGCTCACCCACAGCAGCAGGCAAGCTGGAACTCAGCGCCAGATCGCATTACAGGGTTTGGGATGGGTCTCTTAACTTTATAAACTGGCTTGGCGTTTTCAAATATTTTCTCAAGCAAACTTTGTTTTTTAAGAGAAATCGTACCCAAAAGTCTGATAACATGCAAAACAGAGAAAAGATAACACTGACTAGCATCTCGTGAGCATGTATTACATGCCAGCACCAGCCTAAGCTATAGATGCAATTATGTTAGTTAATCCTCACAAACAGCCCTAGGACGTGGGACCTCCTTTGACCTCATTGCATGAATGAGGAAACACAAGCTCAGGGAATCTCAATAACCAGCCAAGGTCTAGCTGCTGGGAGCCCACCCAGGCTCTCTTAACCACCCTGATGGCTGTTACGCAGAGCTGTTCAGGTTGAAGTAGACGTGAGAAGCCCAGAACCCCACTCCATCTACTACGGGAAGTGCCTCCCAGAAGCTTTGGGTTCCAAAGAGTTCAGTTTGCAAACCACTGCCTTTGACTAATAACCAAATAATTGCGTATTCCTCAAGCACCCAAGATGAGAAGGGAGAATGATTAGATAGAGTATTGCTGCTTTTTTGTTTATAAGCTGAAATCGTAGAAATGATCAAGTCCACAGCCCACCTCTTGTACCTAGGGGGCCACTCAAGCTGGGACCAGGCTGAGGGCAGAGGGGAGGCCCAATCCTGGCATTGGCCATCCAGCCCAGACCCCTCCCATGCAACCCCTTGACAGACCAAAGCCAGTGGCCTGAGACCATACATGCTGCTATGAACCAAGCCACGAAGCCGCCAGCACACCTGGGAGGCTGTATTCACACAGCATCCCACACCTTCCAACGTCCTGGGCACAGCCCAGCCTGGGGGCCCTGGCCAGGCCAGGCTCTGAGCCCAGAAAAGGCAGGGTCTCAAGAGACAAGAAGATGGAGAGGCAGGGGAGGAGGGAGCTGCAGAGAGCAGGGGCCAGGCCCCAGAGAGCAGAGGGAGAAGAGAGAAGAGATGGGAAGGAGGGGCCGCCGGGCCTAGGGGGAAGTAGCTCGGGCAGGTATATGGTGGGACGGGGCAGGCCCGTGGGAGGGGAGAGGATTCTTAGTGGGGAAGGGGGCACCGCTGGATCCCAAAGCCTAGAGGACGGCTGTATGTCCTCCACGGGCTTTCTGGGTTGGAGTAAGGTGCACTGGGGGGCAGGGGCCCGTTCCAGCCCACCCACCCTCAGCAAGAAGGAGGTCACCAGTCATGGCCACGTCTGTCTCCTCCTCACACCCTCTTGCTCACCAGTCCTCCAGCCCTGGAGAATCACAGAAATCTCCTCTGACCTGCCCCTTTCCTTGTGCTGGCCCCCACCCTAGGGTGCCTGCCTCTCCCCCACGACCCCCACCAATTATGGCGAGTAGGTGGGCACCAAAGCCCAGGTTTGTGGGTCTGGCAATGGGCTGGCCACAGATGTGACCCGCGTCTGCCCAGGACACCGTCGGCAAGGTCTGGGTCTTGAGCCAGTCCGCGTTGGTGGCAATGCTGCCAGAGACGGCCTGCCGGGCTGCCGGGGCTTACCTTCACACCATCGTTCTTCTTGTTTCCTCCACTCTTCCCCCCTGCGGAGGAGAAAAAGTAGAGGGTTAGCAACACCAGGCAGGGCACCAGGGCCCACAGGACGAGGAAGAGCAGCATCCACGAGCAGCCAGAGGGCAGACTGCAGGAACGGGAGTCGGCTCAGCAATCCTGGGGGGAGGCTGCCGCCGTGGCCTCCCTCCTTGGCCGCCCAGGGACTGCCAATGGCCCACTGGGTGGGCCTGGGCACCCCGTTCTCAGCAATCTCGAGCGTGACCCTCTGGCTTCATGGGTTGAGGCAGTTATCCAGCGTGTCCCAGGACAGCGGAGCTGCTATTTCAGCCCGGGGATTCCCTCTGGATCCCAGTCACCCCCGTGCCAGTGGTGGCCAACCCGGAGGCCCGGCCGCCTGGCCCGGGGCTGGACGCTCCCTCCCCGCCCTGGCCCTCTCTAATTTTAGCCCCATGCTGCTGCGGAGGTCATGTGTCAGCCCTGCCTACTCACTCCAGACAGCTGCAGGCCGAGTTTTGCCGGTGACAAGAAGCAGATGGCCCCCCGCCGTGGCCCACCCTGCCACAGCACCCATCCCCTGCCTTTCTCCTCCGGCAGCACAGGCCTCCCCAACCTCAAGCTCCGGTGGAGCCCCACACCGGCGCTGGCTGTGGCCCTGGTGGCAGGGAAAAGCAACAGCTCCCAGGGAGGCCTCCCCCGCTGTCATTTCCCCTTCCCTCCCTCCCCACCTCCTGGCCAGAGCCCTGCAAGTGGGCACTAGCCAGGAAATGGCCTGAATTCCCCAGCCTGCCCAGCCTGGCGTCCAGCTGCTTCCGACCTTAAGCAAATGCCTTAAACAAGGGCTTAGCACAGCCCTTGACCTGTATGCAGTCGGTGCTCAGTAGTAAATGGTAGCCAGGATAAGACCTTCTCCTGGTAGCCCTGAGAGGGTGAGCTGGGAGGGGGCGTCCCAGGGCCCCTGTGGGGTGGGGCTCTTGGCCGGCCACCTTCGCAGCCACCCCACATTTGCACTTGTGACCCCGTCGAGGTTCTCCTCTAAAGCTCCCGACTCACACACCAAGGCAGGGGGCACTTCTGGATCCCGCAGCCGAGAGGAGTGGCTGTCCGTCCTCCACGGGCTCTGGGCTGGACTAGGATGGGCGGCGGGGCAGAGGGAGCGCTTGCCCCCGATCCTCAGGGAGGGTGGGCCCTCTCAGCTCCAGCCCCTACTGCCGGCTTCTGTGAGGCCACAGAGCCTGATTTTCAAGAGACGACAGAACTCTGAGTTTTTCTGTGAAATCTCCTGATTTTTTAAGGGCTAGAAACCCATTGCAAAAAAAATTTTAAAACTTTTCAAACACCCTCGGCTGCACAAACCACACGTAGGAATTAGACCCAACCCTGGGGCCGCCATGTTGTGAGCTCCGGACTGGAGTTCTGTAGGGTGCTTCAGTTGTTAAAAAAAGACTCTGACCGACTGGGTAGCTCATCTTTCAGCGTAAGGAATGGCAGGATCCTCGTCTGGGGAGAGGGTGGGAGGGCAGTTCACCGTGGTGGGAAGGGCCAAGTCTGAGGTTCTAGCGTGTGCCCCTGGGTCTCATTCTTCCCAGCTGGTTACACGGGCCGGGGGACCCACTCAGTGAAGCCGGGGCCGCCCCCTTCTCAGAGCGGGCCCTGTGCTGTGGTGCTGGCCACGTGTCCACAGCAGCTTCCTCAGCTGGCCCTAGCCCCAGCCAGGCCCTCTGGGGTGAGCTTTGCCTTATCTGCTATCTATATCTGCTCTGCCGCCCGCCAGCATCCCGGCTCCCCAGAGAGAAGCCTCTGGCGGACACTGGCCCCGGCCCTCTCCAACGTGCCAAGAGGAGCTTCTTGCTAAGCCCTGACGATAATCCCTTCCCCTTCCCTCTTTGAGGCCACATGCCTCAGGTAATTGGGCACTCCCCGCCTTAACCAGCCTGGCTTTGGCCAAGGGCCTGGGAGGCTACGGCCCTGGCCTCCCTCGTAACCCAGCCTGGTGAAAAGCGCTTGCTCTGGGCTCAGTCAAGTCCGTGCTGAGTGCAGGCTCTGCGTCCCCCTAGCTGTGTGACCGGGGAAGTCAGAGCTCACCTCCCCGAGCTCCTGTTTCCTCATCTGGAAAATAGAGATGGCAATATCTCCCTGCTGTCTTGTCACGAAGGCCATCTGAGCAGGAGCTCAGGACTGCTTAGCACCGGCTGCGATAACAGTGCCACTCCCTCGGCCTGGCTCCATCCTGCCTAGACCTGAACCCCCAGCATTCTGGAAGCTTATCCCTCTGGCTGGCCCAGGCTGAGGACCCCAGCACTGCTGCAAGGTAGGGGAGCCAGATTGAATCTCTAAGCATTCCTGGTGGGCCCTAGGCTTGCTGACCTTTGACCACTTTCCACTTCTGGGTACAGGTTTGCGACAGGTGAGCTACACCCCCCAGCCATGGAGTTGTCTGCAGCCCCCACTCTCCCCAGGGTCCCTAGCCTGGGGGCGCCCAAACATCCAACAGGACAATGCCCCAGCAGACAGGTGCAGGGTGTACTGAGGACTCTGAGGTCCCACCACCTACCAGAGAAGTTCCTGGTGGCCAGCATAGTGGTGAGAATGGCTCCCTGCAAGAGACAAGAGGAGGGCGGTGGGAGGGGAGGCCAGAGAGCAGGAAGCGCAGGAGGGACAGATCGGGTTTGGGGAAGGAGAAGCGGGTGCTGCCTTCAGAGAGGAGCCAAAGCCTCTGCCCCACCCTCCATTTGACCCCCACCCCTGGCCCAGAGCCCATCCCCCACCTCCCTGGAGAAGTCAGGGTGAGCTAGGCTTTAGCTGGCACAGCTCCGGGGACAAGGCCATCCTAGGAGCAGATATTAATAGGTCCTGAGGCCTGGCCCAAGCCAATGGACTTGAGGACACCTAACGGTGGGGGCTTCTAAAGGCCGTGGACGCTCCCTGCCTGGGCGAGGACAGCAGACCTTGCATCCCTCAGCCCCTCCACCTCCACCTTGCTTGAGGACTAGCTCGTGCCTCCGTGGCCTATGGGCTCAGAACCCTGGAGGATTCTCAGTGTGGGAAAACCTTCTTCTGTCAACGGCTGGGCTGGGGGATAACAGCCTTCCGGTTCTCATGCTGTCTGATTCAGACTTGACTTGTACGCTCTGCATCTAACAGTTTACGATGTTAAGAATCCCTGATTCCAACATGTTGAGACTTCTTCTGTGACACAGTTCCCACTGCAGGATAGGGGTGGCACTCGGTTCTCCTGGCACCATGCAGACCACCACCCCCTTAACCCATGTCCCCATCCTGAGCCTCCATTCCAGGCCTGGGGGCAGCGGGTAAGGAGGTTCCAAAGGAGCTGGGAGGCCTCCACATCTGCCCCTCATTGTCCCCACCATGCCGATCGCTCCTCTGTCCTGACCAGCTGGGGACCCCTCGGTGCCTGGCAAGGGCTAGGCCAGGAACTGCCACAGCCCTGAGAGCCCACAGGACCTGTGAGAAGCTGCAGCTCTGGGCCCACCTGGCCTCACTGTGGCTTCTTCTGGGCCATGACCACTGTCTGAGTGCCTCAGCCATTCCTCCCCAGCACTTGGCAGCAGAGGCCTCTGCCCCGTGGTCTCCTGTTCAGCCACATCTCACCCACAAGTGCTCTCCCCAGCCACTCCGAACCACTTGTGGTCCCCCTAGAGGGTCATGCTCGCACTTCCAGACTTCTGCACAGGCGGCCGACTCTGTCTGCAACATCTTCCCGTTCTGACTCTACTTGGCTAATGCATGCTTGTCCTTCGGGGTCAGCTTAAGTGCCACTGGCTGCAGGAAGGCGTCCCTGATCCTTCCAGACCTGGAATGCCATTGCTATGCGGTGCACTGCCACCGCCTCAGGGCTTGCCCAGGCATAACACTCACCACGTCCCGGGCACTTGTCTGTCCTCTCTGCTAGACCAAGAGCTCAGTCAGGGTGGGGCTGGGGTCCCATTCACTGCTCACTCCCCAAGCCCAGCCCGCCGTTCAGCGTGTAGGAGGTATTCAATAAACGCTTGTTGAATCCATGAAGGAAAGAACTCATGAGCGAGTCTCTTGGCCTCTGTGGAGACCCAGACCAAGCTACTGCCATGTCCGGGGGTGTGGAGGGTGACAACTTGTTACCTTCAGTTTTCTCCTGGCGTTGAACTTCTTCAGGCAGTCCACGGTCTCCTGTCTGTGCATGCAGGACGCCACGGTGGAGCGGTGCTGGAGGAGGGTGGGGAGAGGACTGTGAGTGGAAGGCAGGCCTACCCAAGGGTTCCCCTCAGCAGGGTGTCTTAACGGAGATGGGATTGCATCTCGGGGAGCACGAGTCTTTGTTCTAGGGGATGTTGCAGGGTGCTTAGCAACCTGGCACCAGCCGTTCGATGCCAGTAGCAGCCCCAGTCCTGATGCCAACCTGGAACACCCCTCGTTTCCATGTTACCCCTGAGAAAAACGGCAGGGTCAGAGTCTCTTAGATTAAGCCCCCTTGGCCCTACGCTGGGCCTGAGGGACCGGGGCAGCGCCAGGACTCCGTGAGGGTCTGGACTCTGAGGTCTGGAGGGGCTCCCGGGAGCGGCCCTGGCGGTGAAGGCTCACCGAGATCCACGGGTGCTTAAGGGCCTCGGCGGCTGTGATGCGTTTGGACGGGTTGATAGTCAGCATCTTGTTGATCAGATCCTTGGCTTCCGGGGTGACGGTGTCCCATTCTGGAGATGGGAACTGGAAGGGGCAGAGGGGCCAGGTTTGCCCAGCCTGCCCCAGGCCACCCCTGCGATCCCCCAGCCCCTGACTGGCAGGGGAGCAGGCAGGGGTCCTGCTGCCCATCCATGTGGGCATCTGCAACCAGAGGAGTTGGGGCTCCTCAAAGAAGGGACCCTTCTGGGCCAGGGGAGAGGCAGGGTCCCCTGACCCTGGACAAATCAGAACATGGCCAGAGGGAGAGGAGACCTCCCTGTCATTCTGAGGCTGTGCCTTATCTGGGGAGCAGCAGGCCATTAGTTATAGCCCAGACTGCAGAATTGGAAGGCCCGGGTTCACGTTTTGGCTCTGCCTCCCAGGCTGTGTGACCTGGGCCAGTCACATGACCCTTTGAGCCATCCCTAGAGATGTTTTGAGAGTTAAATATAATATAAAGCATATGGCACATAGCTTAATAGACATCAGCCTTGCAGAAGAGCAGTATAGCTTGGTAGTTAGAAGCATCGATGCTAGAGCCAGATTACCTGGGTTCAAATCCCAGCTCTACCATTTCTTAACTATGTGATCTGAGCAGTTACTTTGTCCCTTGTGCCTCAGTTTCCCAATCTGTAAAATGGCGGTAACAGTACCTACGTCACAGATTGATGTGAGGATTAAATGTAATAAGATATGTAAAACATTCAGAAGAGTGCTACGGAAGTGTTAGCTATTATTATTATTTATATATATGAAAGAGAGAAAGACATAAAACCTGGCTGGGGGCCTGCCCCTCCCCTGCTCCTCACCCCACTGTGGTGCTGCTTCTACCTGCTGGGGCCCTGCGGGATAAATCCCGTCTCTTTGAGCCCCCAGTCATTAGGCACAGTGTAGACACTGCCTGGCCCTGGTCAGTCTTCACACTCCCGTGGGGTTCACCCCCGCCCGGTACTAGAGCGGCAGGGGACCTGAGTGTGCCGGGAAGGTGGGAGGGAGGCCATCTCAGACCCCCGAGCTCACTGGACATTGGCTTTCATTGGAAGGGCGCCAGAGGGCACGGGGGCCGGAGGGAGGAGCGACACTCACATCATAGGCCCCGGCTTTGATCTGCTGGTACAGGCGGTGCTGGTCCTCATCCCAGAAGGGGGGGTACCCAACCAGCAGGATATATAGGATGACCCCTGGAGAGAGAACCAGAAAGTCTTCAACCCCCTGTGGGGAGGAGAGGACGGGGGAGTGATGGGAAAGGAGAGAGGGGCCCCAGAGGCGGGGGTGGCCAGGCGCACAAAAGAGCCTTTGGATGGACTCACCGCAGGCCCACAGGTCCACGGGCTTCCCGTACGGGTCCTTCCGCAGCACTTCTGGGGAGAGGTATCCAGGTGTCCCTGCGAACCCTGCTCCCAGACACACAGACAGGCAGACACACACACACAGAGGTGGGCGTGTAAGCACCTTGCAGCAAGATTCTGCTGGAAGGGGGGATGCAAGTTGCCCTGGAAGAGCCCCTGCCCCCAGATGCACTCAGACCTGCATCGTGAAACCCTGACAAGCCAGCAAAGCCTCTAGATGGGGTCGGCAAGCACATGGCACATCTGTCACCACTCCCTACTCCACAGCCCGGGGCAGACAGCACTAACAGATGACAGAGCTTCTTCCCACCAGCCCCGACTCCCGACTTCAAACATAACCCTGCCAGCAGCCACTACCCGTCATTAGCTGGTGGCCCTCGGGGTGAACTGTGCTTGCCCTGTCAGCTCCAGGCCGAGAGCTAAACCCTTGCCCACTCTCCAGCCCCTGTGGGAGCTGGTTGTGGGAGTCAGGAGGCCTGTCCTACTCTTGCTTTCCCCCTAAATAATCCCTTGCGTAGGTCTCTACATTCTAGGCCTCTGTTTCCCCATCTGTCAAAGAGGGACCAGGGATTCCTATCTTAAATACCTCCTGGGGTTGCTGAGAGGATCAGTTGAAACAATGGACATCCAGAGTATTCTAACGAGTAATACAGAACAGTTAGGGTTGCTGAGCGCGTCTGCTAAGCGCTGGGCTGAGCACTTTACGCTCCTGGGCTCACGTAATCCGCACACTGCTCTTAAGGAACATACTATTATTATCCTCGTTTTATGGATGAGGAAATGAAGGCTCGGAGAGGTGAAATGACACGCTCAAAGTCACACACCTTGTGAGTAGCAGAGTCAGGATGTGAACACAGAGCTCTGGTTCTTAACACCTGATCAATATCGCCCATTAAAAAGTAGCCCCAGACAGCTGGAAGGGACCCAGTTATGTCAAAAATCCCAAAGTGTGCCGGATCATCTGACCCGGCTTTTTAAAATCCCTTGACCTTTTCCAAGTTTCTTAGCCTCCGTTTTCTCATCTATAAAATCAGGATAAAAATCTCTAGCACTGGCCGGGCGCGGTGGCTCACGCCTGTAATCCTGGCACTCTGGGAGGCC